AGCTCCTATATATATCTTCGTCCGATTTAATGTAAATGGTGCACCAAAGTCCCTTTATATCTTTCGATTTGCACGAAATTTGGCACAGCGTAATGAATTAGGCCTAGAATGATGTGTGCTAAGTTTCGTGAAAATCGGTTCAGATTTAGATATAGCTCCCATATAGTTTCGTCCGATTTTACGTAAATGGTGCACCAAAGTCCCTATATATCATTCGATTTGCACGAAATTTGGCAGAGCGTTCTGTATTAGGTGCAGAATGATGTGTGCTGAGTTTGGTGAAAATCGGTTCAGATTTAAATATAGCTCCCATATATATTTTCATCCGATTTAATGTAAATGGTGCAACAAAGTCCCTATATATCATTCGATTTGCACGAAACTTGAAACACCGTAATGAATTAGGCCTAGAATGATGTGTGCTGAGTTTGATTAAAATCGGTTTAGATTTAGATATAGCTCCCATATATAGTTTCGTCCGATTTTATGTAAATGGTGCACCAAAGTCCCTATATATATTTCGATTTGCACGAAATTTGGCACAGCGTAATGAATGAAGTATAGAATGATGTGTGTTAAGTTTCCCGAAAATCGGTTCAGATTTAGATATAGCTCCCATATATAGTTTCGTCCGATTTAATGTAAATGGGGTATCAAAGTCCCTTAATATCTTTCGGTTTGCATGAAATTTGGCACAGCGTAATGAATTAGGTCTAGAATGATGTGTGTTAAATTTCCTGAAATCGCTTCAGATTTAGATATAGCTTCTATATCTGACCAAATGAATAAATTAGTATAGGTTGCAGAATGACATGTTTATGGATCCAATTTCATTTTGATGGTCCTTTTAAAATGCCACGTCTGTTAGGATTCATCTGTTGAATATACCCTTACTACTTTCCTTACTGGTTTTTCGTGTGGACCTTTGTAAAATCCTTTATAGAATTATAGTGATTTTTTTTTCATTACTAAATCCAGTTCCATCACACATCCAGAATATAATTTATTTCCCTGAAAAGTCTCTTTATGTTAATAATCAGAATTTTTTCTATATAGTTATTTGTGGGTTTTAAAGAGAAAATCACTACCTTTCCAATAATGTTTGGCTTGTGGACAAACTTGCAGTTGTTTAGAAGTTATGGTGGATATGACCTTGTGCCTAAAGTATTTTTTCCCAGACAAATTTTTTAAAGTTAATATTAATAGAATCTGAAAATATTTCTCCAAGTTGTCATGTTGGCTTTATAAAGAGAAGATTATAACCTATAAATTGTATTAATAGGTCATTTACCCTAAATATGTCAATAACATTGACAGCTCATAGTTCAAAAACCCTAACTCCCATACTACCTACAAAAATAAATGGAAACACACTAAAACTGATACATAAAAAATAGACCAAAAAATTCACACGCATACATTCCTCATTTTTTATGTTCGAATTTCGAAAACAAATTTCCCTCAAGAGAGTTTTTGGGGGAAATGTGTCATAAACCTCAGTGAAGGTTAGTGCTTACGAATAAATATTCAATTTTTTATATGTTTATCTACTACTAGTTTAGTAGTTTAGCTTTTATGTAAAGGAACTTTCATTGCTAATGACACTCCTTGAACTCCAAATTGCTAAAATGGGAAAGTGATGATAACACTTTTTCGGTGTGACAATGATGGAATGTTGTGTTGGAATTCATTGACCCGTGTTTGCTAATATGTAATTATGGTAATAAATATTGATTGATATAATCAGTTTGGGATGAGCTTTTGTAAATTGATAACGGAACATTTTTTTTTAAGAAATGTATCCACTTTTCAAAATAATGGGGAAGGAATGGTGTACCCATGGTACAATAATACATGTTGTAGCTTGAACCTCCGCCTGTAGGATCGTATTGTATTCTGGTAGGCGAAGTGAAATTTCAGTTTTAGATTCTTCAATGAGAAATCCCAGTCCCGGCTTTCCTGCTAGCCATATGTGTTACTAGGGGGCATGCTTCTTAGTGTTCCGCTACCCCATGAATATCTGTCTGGTATCATAGTTTCACATCTTGTGACTACTCTTATTTCAGGTATTCGGCCCGACTCAAAATTACTAATTGAGAATTGCCGTCTCCAATATATTTTGGTGCGATGTATTGTGTCCGTTGTCGGTCCACTCGTTCATAGCTTTCAATCTTAAAGCTGCGACGGCCGCTTAATAACTAATTTGGATGTCAATTTGATGTATATACAATAAATGGTCTGTTCCAGTACTTTTTTAATAGTAAAGCTAGTAAAAGGGAAACATTTCAAAATCGCTCTCAGAGTACAAAATAATTTGAAAAGTTCAAGAATGCAAATCTATTAAATATGTCAAAATTAGATGGCAATACTTAAGGGGTTAAGCTTAAGGAAGGGGGTTTAGTAACTGTTTTTGAGTACAAAATTTGCAAAACTTGTAAAATTAGTAGATTATTTTAGGTTATGGAACGGACCTAACGACAACGACTAGAACAAAGCTCTAGTAGATTTTGTCCTTATTGTTTCACATATTCCTAAGTAGTATGTTCTCTGGACTTTCTGCAACGATTTCACATTACATTTTTGTCCATTACTGTCCACCAGACTACCGAGGCGTATGTTAGGATTGATCTAATAGCGCTCTTATAGATCCAGTGTATCATCTTTGAATTAAAACCCCTATTTAGAGCCTACAGATCATCTGCAAATGTACCAGCATCTGTGGGATTTGTCTACCCGGTTCTGTATGTGGTCTTTCCATTTAGGTTTTCTGTCTAGGATGACCCGCAGATATTTAACTTTATTTGATGTGGTTATCACTTTGTTTTGAAATATGGGTTCTTCAAACTGCCCTATTTTTGTCTTCCTAGTGAAAAAACATATCTCCGTCTTGGCTTGATTTACGTAAAAGACCCCTCAGTCTCGACCAATTATAGGCGATATTTAACACCATTTCAGCAGGTTATAATTCTCTCCCCTCTGAAGTATTATAACAGACGGGTTCAAATCCCTCCTCAGTTAAGATCCTTAATAGGCTATTGATAGTGGTAACCCACAGCTGTGGTAATCAAATCACTCCCTTCGAAGTCCCTTGTCCTACTTTGTCCCTGCTATTTATGTCTTAGCTTAGCATGTGCTGACCAAGGCTATGATTATCTGGTCAATTCGAAAGGCCATTTCACTAAAGACTGGATAAATGGCTAAACAGAATGTTCGCGTTGAGCGTTTTTTGTTATCGCGTTAACGCACGCAAAAAGTTAAAATATATTTAACTCCGAAGCGTAGCGCACATCAACTTCGAGCGTTTGTGTTATCGTTTCCTTGTGGTTGTTGTATTTTCGATAACACTTAACGCAACGGATGGCTCAACGCGAGCATTCTGCTTAGCCCTTGAGTGTTTCAGTGCCGACATTATTGAAAACTCCCTCGATTTGGGAGATGTTGACTTACTTTGATTTATATTTAAATACACTTTAACAAAAATATAAATTAAGAAAGTTATTGCGAGAGTGAACTGCATCGCCGCCGACATGAAAAGAGATGGAGAAAGTTCTAGTTTTTATGCTAATTCAAAAATACATGTGCTTGCGCAATACCGGTTATCGTCTGTCTTCGGTAATCAGTATTTGGTAGCTGAAGGTTGCCACATACAAATGGCGTTGGCCTAGGGATACGTAGTTGAGCGTAAAAATCGACTTTTAGACTTTTCGACCAAAAAGTCAATCTTTAGACTTTTCGACTTTGCCTTTGACTAAAAAGTCGACTTTTCGATCTTTCGATTTTGTCAAACCCGATCGATTTTCGACTTTTACCGACTAATGCAAAATCATCTAAAAAATTGTTTTTTGTATGTATTTTTGTAAACAGATAAAATAATGTTCTGGAATGTTTAATTTTCGGGCAATTTGAGCTTCATGATAATAAAACAAGTATTTATGAAGAAAATCGAACATGAAAAGTCGACTTTGCGATTTTCTCAAAGATCAAAAGTCGACTTTGACTTTTAGACTTTTCCATACAAAAAGTCGAAAGTCGATTTACTAATCTCTACGTTGGTCTATTTATGAAATCGGTCTCATGGTAAATTTCTCTTAATGCATTCTCAAGGCATATGAATTTCTACTTAAAAACAGGCGCATAGAATTCTGAATAATCCCAACTGGCTAAAATATATTTTTTGTATAAAGGTTGACGAATTTCCATATTACATTTCCACAGTCAATAGTGTGTGCTACTTTAGGGAAAAAATTTTTAACTCTTCAGCATATCGATTATATCGCCGGAACTATTTCCTTCGCTTCATCTCATTAAGATGTCTTTCGTAGAACTATAAGCAAAAATTTGGCTTTGAAACCATTTTGCTTTGTTGCTGCAGCTTTATTTTACTTACATAGCTGGCTCAAGACAGAACATTTGTTCCATAAGGCGAACTTAAAAAAAGCTTTTCAGGCGCGTCGATCTTATCCGCCGTTTTTTCATTTCGGAAGACTATGCTTTGATATGTCATTCTCCACGCGATCTTTCCATCGAATTCGTGGCCTTTCCGTTCTGCTTGAACCATCAAGTGCCTCGCTTTTATATATCTTCTGAGCTGTGGCATCCTCATCCATTCGCACAGCATGGTCTTACCAGTCGCTGCAGCTCGATACCACTGCCTATGTCGATGTCCGTGTATAGATGATAAAGCTGATGGTTCATTCGACGCCGATATTCACCATTGACCCAGATTGGCCAGTAGATCTTTCTCTCAAACACTCCAACAGTTGCCTCATCTGCTTGCGCAAGTGTCCATGCTTTTGATCCAACAGCACGGGTATTATCTTTATTTTAGTTCCCTCGTGAATGAGGGTTCTGAAGTTTGAATTTTATCAATACTTGCAAATTTTTCAAGGGGTCTGCAAGGCTGTTTTTCTTATATTGTAATGAATATTTTATCTTATATTGTAATAAATATTCCCACATTTCTAACGTGCGTCCTTTTTTCTATTATTATTCTTTTGCAGAAATTAGAACAAGAGAAACATGTTCTGCGACAAAAACTGGCCATTGCAGAAGAAGAAAGCGAGCAGCGTGTGCTGGAATATCAAACAGATCTCAATGAACTCAAAGACAAATTGCAGGCTCAGGTATGTATGATACAATGGTCTCACACACTTAACACATTTCAACAGCTTCTTTCCTACTTATTTCATATTCTAATTAACAATTTCCTTCCAATTGCAACCATATCATAACAGGAAATCGCAATACGTCAAGCTGAAAAAGAAAAGACCTTGATAATCGAAGAATTAACAAGTCAAAATGCCCGTTTAACGGAACAAATACAAGAGGCACACAATACGGAAATGAAGCTAATGTCACAAATCCAAGAACTAAAAGATCAGTATCAATATCGGAATACTAGTTTACAGGTATGCAAGCGAACACTCATCATAATTTCTTATTCTCAGGCCATGCTAATTTCATGAATTCCGTTTTATTTTTACATCACACCTCTTAGGAACATGTCAATAGTCTGGAATCGATAAAAACGGAATTAAATCTAACCACAGAAAAACGCCATGAACTGGAGAAACGTCTACAACAAGTACAAGAGGAAAAACAAAATCTAGCCGCTGCTCTGGAAGAATCATCAGATCGTATTCACATGCTGGAGCGACATGCCCGTGAACAGGAAACTAAACTAGAGGTAAATAGCAGTTGAAAAAATATTAGCAATTAAGAGCGACTACATTTTTTAGAATCATTGCGTCATAGTCTTTGTTATTATACTTCGTGTTCTTGTTGTTGTTTTTTCTTCTTGCATTTTAAGTTAATGTTATTTTCTTGTACCAAGTTTTTTTCTGTGGAATTGCTATCTCTCTGTCAAGTGTGCAAAAAATAAACGAAAACAAAACTGTATTTTAAATTAGAAAAAGAACTCCATAACAAATTGCGTTGTTCTTGAAATGTTCGTTTATTTATATGTTACGGTTATCAAAAAAAAAAAAAAAAATTATCACTGACATTGATTTAGAAGTTGTTAGAGCACATTTAATTTGATTATATGTGAGGTTATGTTAGAATTCGATGGAGTGTCGTAGATTGTGAATGAGCTGAATATACAAAGAACTTATATTTTTGTTTCAAATATATTATTGTTGCACTTCTAACGAGTTTCAATTTTGTTTTCAATTGCTTATTTGAAAGAAAATTATTAGTTCTTAGGCGTACCTTTTTTTGCAATTATAAGTTTTTATCCAAAAACGTCAAATAAATTACTTAAGAAATTTAATATGGATTTTGTGGCATAATATGGAAATTTAGGTAATGAATATGCATTTCAGCATGTCATAATTACAGAAGTTAGTCCCATTTGAGAATTTGATGATGGCAACTCTTTTTCATTTCATTTGGAATTCATATATAAATTTCAAATAAAATGAAAAATAAATTCCATAAAATTTTATGTATGTCGACTGGAAAATTTTGAATATATTGCTATCAATATTTAACCATGGTTCTTACAACTTATATTCAAAATATTTATAAATATAATTTTTTAGCAATTTTCGCCACTGAACACATGATAGCGTACATTTCGAAAGAAGATATTTTCATTTCAATTTTGAAAGCAGAATACTGTCAAAGGCAAATTTATGAAAAAATTGGAAACATATGACTGCATAAGACTACCTTGTATAATTATGCCATGGTATTCACTTAAGAAATTTAATATGGATTCCTGGAAATTGTCGCATTATAGGAAATGAATATGCAGATCAGTTGGCAAGAGAAGTTTTGACAGCACCACATATGGGAATGAACTTTAATTTTAGAAATATCAAAGTTAACTGCGGTAGTCTTCGAGGCATCGACTTCACCAACTTTAGATAAAACTAAGGTTAATTTTTTGCCCACCCCTCCTTTTTGACTCTCCACTAATGAACTATAAATTCACTTCAATGTTATATACTTGTATATACTTTTTGAGCTATAATAATTCGTAGAAAATCCTTTATTCGATTTAACTGCGGATAGTCTTCGAGGCATCGACTTCACCAATTTTAGATAAAACTAAGGTTCGTTTTTAGCCCACCCCTCCTTTATGACTCTCCACTAATGAACTATAAATTCACTTCAATGTTATATACTTTTATATACCTTATTGAGCTCTAATACTTCGTGGAAAGACCTTTGCTATGATTAAATGTGGATAGTGTTCGAGACATCGACTTCACCAGGTTTAGACCGTACGAAGGTTCGATTTAATGACTGTTGGAATGATGCGGATTTTTTTCAACTGCTCTTCCAGATGACTCCACAGATGCTTGATTGAGTTAAAATCGGGGGCAGTAGTATAGAGCCACATTTTCACATTCATCGCTGTCTTGATAGAAGGAGAAATTATCGCCAATACCCAATTTTCAAGCTGAATTTATTAAATTATTTTCAAGAATATTCAAACACATTTTTTGATTCATAATCCATCCCTCAAAACTGCTAAGACTTCCAGGTCCATCAGCTGATGCACAACCCCATACCGCAATCGATCTACCACCATGCTTAAATAAAATTCTCTGAACTCCTCATTTGGTGTTCTCCAGACATAGGAGCGTCCATTAGATCGAAAAAGGTTTAATTTGCTTTCGTCAAAAAACTGCCATTTTCGAAAAGGTTGGATTTGAATTTATCAGCAAATAAAACTGTTTTCTAAAATGACAAATTTGTTTCATGTGTGTTTTGCGCTTTTTTTAGCCAGCTTTCCTTAAAGGTTATTGGTTCAAATGCGATGATTGTGCTCGTGTTTCCAACTCATGGGGGCAGTCGTATAAGAGCTACATTTTCACATTCAAGGCTTCTTATTTTGGATCGTTGTCTTGAGAAATTATCACCAATGCACAATTTTCGAGCTGAATCTCTTAAATTATGTTTAAGAATATCCAAATATATTTTTTGATCCATGATACATCCCTCAATAATACAAATATTTCCAGGTCCACGTCATCTGGCATATAACCCCATATCATAATCGATCCAAAACCATGCTTAACAGTCGCTCGTAAATTACATTCTCTGAGCTTCTCATTTCGTCTTCTCCAGACATATGAACGTCCATCAGATCGAAAAAGTTTAAATTTGATTTCATCAGCAAATAAAAATGTCTTCAAATTGACAAAAATTTACTTTGGTATTTTTTTGTAAATTTCAGTCTGTTGTTTTTGCGCTTTTTGAGCCAACCTTGAGTGAAAGTTATTTCTTCTGAATACGTTTCGAATTGTTTCAGGATTGGCATCCTCTTTAAGATAAAGGGACACCATGGCAGTAACCTTTGGGACAGTTAGCTTAGGATTTTTCTTAATTTGCTGCACGATCCATCGCTCGTCCGTGTACACAGTGTATAGATCATAAAATATTTAAGTGCTTAACATAAATATATTTCCATAGATAAGTGCGCGTAACTAATAATGCTTGTGAGAGCTGCTTCTATAATAATGGCAATACCCAACTGAGATCTTATTCCCTTGCTGAGTGCATAGCAAGGGAATAAGATATCTTTCAATTTCTATGACAGTCTAGCACTAAGTAAATTTAGATATTCAATAATATCAGAATGGATTTAACATCTAATCTGTGCACTTCTCATTTAGTGGTCCTTCGAGCCGGTACGCGCAAGTGATAATGCTTGTGTGAGCTGCTGGGGTGCTTTAATAATAAATGCAATGCCCAACTGATAATGCATTCAACAAGGGAATAAGATACCCTAAGATTTCTATGACAGTCTAGCACTTAAGTGAATTTATATTTTCAATAAAATCAGAAGCGATTTAACATCTAATCAGTGTACTTCAGGAACAGTTGTCCTTCGAGACGGATAACAATAATATCTGGTACTTCGAAGAATGAACCAAAATAATAAACTAAAAAAATCAGAATTCAAACTACTAACGAAAGAGAGTTTGGATTTAAAGATCTCAATTTCCCCAGAAGTTTGACCACTTTGTCGATCCATTTTGGAAGTTGTTAAAAAAAATAAATATCAGCAACTCTATTCGAAACCATTATATGTTACAATAATAAAGTATGAAGCATAGCCAGACAGAATGTGAATGTGATGCCAGCTGTTCCACTTTCATTTTGACCAAGATCTTTTAATAAGCTCACCCATGATGCAATAATAAGGCGATGTATCACAACAAAAACCTTTGTTTTTGTCTCGATTATCTGTCATGTTTGTCCTTATAATATTTCAAATGGTTGGCAACCAAGATCTATTAATAAGGTCACCAAGATAGCAATCGAAATCGGAAAACAGCTGTTTTTTCTCAAGTCTAATGTCAAAAATTTCGACTTTGTTTACGTTTTCATAATGGGAGTCAATTCACAATAATGCATTTTGACAGTAAACTTGAGAGGCATCGATAATCAGCTGGTCTCCCTTGGTGACCTTATTTATAGGCCATGGTTGGCAACACTGCACATCGAATTCAAGTAGAAATTATCCACTTTGACAGTTAATCGAGACATCAGTTGCGCTAAATGGACTACCTATTCATTGTGCCATGAGTTCACCCAACAAACGAAAGTCAGCTGTTTTTCTCATGTCAAAAATTGGGTCTTTGTTTACATTTTCATAATGGAAGTCTATTCTCAATAATGTATTTTGACAGCAAACTTAAGAAGCAGCTAATATACATTTGTTCTCTCTGGATGTTCTTATTAATAGGCCTTGACAAGATCTATTAATAAGGTCACCCAGCTAGCGAAAGTCAGCTGTTTTTTTTACGTCTAATGTCAAAAATTTGGCATTTGTTTACGTTGTCAAAATGGAAGTCAATTCACAGTAATGAATTTTGACAGCAAACTTTAGTGGAAGCCATATTTATAGGCCTTGACGCCTACTATTAGTTATGCTTTCAAGTGCTATTATATCAGACTTTAACCCTTTGAGCCCCGATTTTTTTTCCGTAATCATAGCACAATTTTCTGTTCACAGATTTAATGCAACTATCCTAGATAGGATATGGAAAACATTTGACATCGCTACATCCTTGCATTCGGGAGATACAGTACATTCTTTCTGAAAAATAAAAGCCCAATATCAAGAAAACCAAATGCAAAATAGTATTCTCTATATTCTGTTTTACAAGAATTAAAAATAATTCTGATGGCAGAATTTGTACATTTCGAATACGAGACGATTTAAATAATTTGGACTGTATACACAAATTAGTACTGTATGTACACATTTTTGCCCTCTTCTCTATATTAAAAAGCTTATAACTTTACGAAAAATTTGAATTTTTTAGATTTTTCTTGTGATATGTTTCGTCCATAATCATGACTTGACATATGAAATCCAAAGAATATATATCTACTAGCAGCATTTTAAATATAATCTCTAAAACATTTTGTTGCCTGGGGGCAACATTGGGCCACAAAGGGTTAAAATAATATTTTTGAATTGAATTATTATATCCCTTTATATCCTTTTCTATTACAAAAATTTGTACGTGCTGTCCCAGTTTTATTTTGAGCCACTGTAAATAACAATGTTTTAATTATCTACTATAATCACAAAAATTCCTTGAAAAACTCTCATTGGTAATAAATTATTTTTATATCCTTCAAATTTCCCATAGACTACCTTACAAGCATTGGAAAGAGCGACCAGAGAAAACAATGTACTCAGTGAACGTTTGGGAGCGGTAAGTAAATAAAAATATGTTAATATTATATCACCGAATAACCTAAACCCTCTTCTATATCCGCAGGACTCCTATTCTGCAACGACGGGTAAAAAATCCCTACAATTTGAAATGGAATGTGATGAAGATGAGGCCAATTTCTCCGAAGATGGTAAACCCTCACAAATATGGGTAGAATCTCGTTCCGTGTATATACAATTAAAATCATTGGTAGATTCATTGAAAATCAGTCACGACGATGATTCAGGTAAGCGCAATATACGATGGCTCCATTCTGCTTCACTCCATAGCTTGCCCTCCCCCCTTCTCTGTAGTTAGAAACTGTCTTAATCGTTATTGTTGTTGTATGTGATATTTCAAAACAAAAAAGGTTTTACAGGTTTAAATTCGGACATATCGTTGGATTTGGAATCTATGGATAATACCATATCGTCGACAAGCGATGTCGGTGGCAATAATAGTGGCATGGACGGTAATGGCAATGGCCATCCCATCAATTTCCGTCCAGGTATGTTGTCGGCAATGTCCGATGAATTGACACGCTTGCTACTGAATTTGGATGCGGGCAATTTCAAAAAAATGTTGGATCAAACACGTAATTTGGTCTTAGAGCAAGAGGATGAAATAAAACGATCTCATCAACTGATACAACAGCTGGAAGCTAAGGTAAGGATGCAATTGGGAGAAGAATTTATTTGACAATTTAGATCTACTGGATTTAATAAATCCGATACAATGTAAAGTTACTATAATTTATGTATTTCTATTTTAAAATTTACAGTGCGCTGTCACCGACGTTGAATTACAAAATGTCAAAGAAGAAAGAGATCAGGCCCGTAGCGATTTGGTCGACAACTCCGACCGCGATGAATTATTGGCCAAAGCCCAAAAAGAACGTGATAATGCCAATGAAAGGCGCACCAAGGCCGAAGTTGAATTGGCCAAGACCCGTGTTGAACTCATGCAAGCCAATTCACAATTATTGGAATCCATTCAACAGAAGGTTGAATTGTCACAACAATTGGAACAGTGGCAGGTGAGTGGCAAAAGAAGACTATTTTTGAATGATTTAAGACTTTTTAAAGGAACTTCTACTGATCTGGTTTACGAACATTTTATCTATGAGAAAGCCAGACGGTCTGATTTTACAGAAGACAGGAAGACTTTGGTCCAGTCCAAGATCTATTAATAAGGTCACCCAAACAAAAGTCAGCTGCTTTTTTGTTCATGTTTTCACAATGGAAATCACAATAATGGATTTTGACTTATTTTGACCTTATTAATATACCTTGCATACGATTTACAAATGGTCAAGATACAGTATTGTTCGAAACCTAAGCAACTTTTTCTTAATAAGTAATCATGGTCTTATATTATCTAGTTAAATTGAATTATGAAAAGTACTTATTTTAATAACTATTACATTATACAGTCGACTCCGCTTTACTGAAAGGGAAAAAATTTGAATTTTTGAACTGAAAATAATTTCAGTTATCCGAACTCATCATAAGCGAAACATTTTTTACTTTTACGAATTTCAATAATCTCTATATCATAGCGAATATTTATGTTTCGAATTTCTTAAGAAAATAGACGATAGAAATTAAAACTGGTTAACATGTTCACTGCTTATGGGAATTTTATTATGAACTGTAAAACTTATGAACTTGTAACTAAATCCATCGTCTGCCTGTTGCAATCGTAAGACCTATCTTAAATACAACGTTTGATTTTAAGAACCTAAAATATCGGGCGATTTTAAGTCTTTTTAACAGCTGGCTAAGCTGTAATACCCAATATGAGGTTGTAAATGAGTATAATACTTCCTTGCAAAACTTGTCACCAGACCTCAATCCCATTGAAACTTTTTCAGCATTTTAAAACGAAGGATTGGAACACGTCGCTTTAAAAACAGACAGGAACTAATGAACTGCTTAAAATCAGAGTGGAATGCTATACCAACAACAATTCTAACAAAACTTGTAGAGTCAATGCCAAAAAGATGTGCGGCAGTGATAAAAAATAAAGGGTATCATACGAAATATTGAAAGTTTCGAACAGGTGCTTTGTGAGTTAATTTTGTTTTCATTTCTTTATTTTTTTCCAATGAAATACAATTTAAATTTGTTGTTATTTTCAGATTATAGACACATAGTATAATAGTAAATAAAATATATATTTTTTATAAATCAATTAACGATATCATATAAGACCATGACTACGTACTAAGAAAAAGTAGCTTAGGTTTCGAACAATACTGTATATTAATATGGTCACCCAGCTAGCGAAAGTCAGCTGTTAATTTTTAAGTCTCATATCAAAAATTGTACTTTGTTTACGTTATTATAATGAAAGTCAATTCACAATAACGCATTTTGACAGTAAACTTGAGAAACAGCTTATATGTATCGGATGGCCTTATTAATATGTCTTGCCCGCCTCTTAAATATAGAAGAACTATTCAATGCCTACTAATAAGGTTACCCAAAAAGCCAAGCTTTTATATCTCAAGTTAAGTGTCAAAAAGTTGGACGTTATTTACGTTATTCATTATATAAAAAAAAATTCTCACTAAAGGATCTTGACAGTCAACTTAAAAATAATCTGATTTGCAGCTAATCTTCCTGAGTGACCTTGTTAATAGGCCATGAACCATCAGTCAGCAGTTGACAGTCCAAACTGATACTGAGTTCTCGCCTTAAGACCACTTCTTAATAAAGTCAATTCACAATAATGGATTTTGACAGCAAACTTGAGGAGCAGCTGGTCTTTCCTGGATGACCTTATTTGACAGGAAACTTGAGAATCATCTGATCTGCATCTGATATTTCTGGGAGACCTTTTTAATAGCTTTTACGACTTCATTTGGCTGCACTTCAACTTGGCAGCACTTAATACCTAATGATTTATGACAAGTTTACATAAAACTCATATTAATAATTTATTGTTTTTTTTTCTTTCATTTTAGATGGATATGCAAGAATTGATCGAAGAACAAATGCGTTCGAAAATGATCAACAATCGCAAAAGCCAACAGACCCAGCCACAGACCAACAATGCCAGTGGAGCCAGCAATTTGGCCAAACGTTTGTCCAACTACAAATTGTGGAGCCTTTTTCAACGGTAATCTGATGTCGTTGAAGTGGTGGCGCTATGCGTCCTTAATTTTAATCATGTAAAAGCTTTCAAACGTTTATTAAATTGAGTTTAATCTTTATTATTATATATTACGTTTTTTAATTATTATAAACTAATTTTTATAAATGTGTACTTATTACTTACTACTTAATTATTCATTTTATTATTATTTTCTCCCCCAAATCTCTCTCTATAAATATATTCATAAAATTGTGTATAAATTCTTTTTAATATATATAAATATATATATTTTTTTAATTATTATGTATACTATATACATTTTGTTTTTTGATATAAGAAATATTTATATTAATTGTATTGATTTTTTGTACTTATATATGTAAACAAATATATAAAAATAATATATTAATATTAATAGTGAAATGAGGTTAAACAAAAGTGAAAAAAACAAAAAAATATCTAATGTAACAAATCAAAATTTACACACACAAAAACACTAACCCCCTCTCACTTGTTAAAAACTTCTTAAATATAAAATGTACCTTTCTTTGATAATGATGATAATATTATAGTGAAAATTAATAATAATAAAAAAACAAACACCATACACACACAATATATTAAAATTAAATATAAATATTTTTTTTATTTTCTATATATGATTTTGTTTACAGTAATATGAAACATTAACGCTTTTTTGTAATCATTTTTTACATATATACACACATTTGTAACAAAAACATAACAATTGTACATATAAACAGAATATTAAGAAAATATGAAATATTTAATAGAAATTTTTAATTTTTATTATTTTTTTAACTCTAAATCATTAATTTAATAACAAACTCTCAAGTATTGGAATACATTAAAAACACTTGATATATGATTTCTGAAAGTTGTCTGGTAGCTTAAAAGCGATAATATTTTTCAAATATACGGTATATTCCCATATTTAATAAATGTTAAAATTTTTAAATGGAAAATCAAAAACTACTTCAACCAGTAGTATATTCTTGTAGGTTCTGGAACAAAGTTACACGTGTAAAGGAAAATTTAACCGGATTTTGTTAACCCAGTGGGTTTCAATTGTCAATTCCTTTGCATATATGTCAAATAAATCCTCATATAGTAGGTTAACCCGGTAAAAAGTTCTAATGTATATGCCATTTTAAAAGGCATAATTATCAAGGTCTATAAATAAGATCATCCAGAAAGACCAGCTAGATATCAGCTGCCTCTCAAGATTGCTGTCAAAATCCATTATTGTGAATTGATTTCCATTATAAAAAACGTACACAAGGTCCAAATTTTTGACATTAGACTTGACATTCGCTTGTTGGGTGAACCTATTGATAGATGGTGGACATAATCTAATCCCGCTTTTTTAAATCTATATTCTGATTTTGCCATTATTTGGTATTTTGAAGACCCACCTAATAATTTTTGACGATCTTATTATATTTTTTTACGATTATTGGATTTATTGTACATTTAGCTTACTTTGAATATCAGCTGACAAATATTAATCAGCTGTTTTAGGAACAACTTAACAGTGTAACTGAACAAATCGAGTCGATTTAGAACATATAAGGCCTATAAATAAGGACATACAGGAAGACCTGCTGCGTGTCAACTGCTACTAAAGTTTGTTTTCAAAATTCATTATTGTGAATTGACTTCCATTATGGAAATTTAAATAAAGTCCAAATTGTTTGACATTAGACTTGAGAAAAAATTGCTCGCTTTCGCTTGTTGGGTAACCTTATTAATAGATCCTGGACATAATATAATCGCGCTTTTTTCAATCTATATTCTGATTTTGCCATTATTTGATATTTTGAAGACCTAGTAATTTTGACGACCTTTTTTTATTGAATTTCTTGTAAATGTTGCTTGCTTAAAGCACTTTGAATGTCAGCTGACAAATATTAATCGGCTGTTTTAGGAACAACTTAACATTGTGACTAAGCAGAATTCTCAGAATTCATATTTGTTAACTGAATACTTTGTATATAAATATATCGCTCATTTGCTGCAATATCGGCATAAATCAACAAATGGATTTTGCAGAAAATGCGTTTTAAGTTTTCAATTGACTCACACCTTACAAGGAACATATGTAGGTACTTTTACAGATTCTCAATCAGTGTGTGTACGAAATATTCATCATTTGTTTTTTATACACAACATGACGTCTAATACAGTGAACAATTCTGCATCATTAACTCAAACATCACGGTTTTTGATTTATCTCGATCAAGCAGCAAACGAGCGATATATCGTGGTTAGAATTCAAATTAAACTAAATTTTCACTTCGTAATAGTTTTACTAAACCTATACCACGCCTGAAGATGGGAACCACCGATCCGCACATACCGGTACCTCACCCATGAATGAAAAAGTGTGAAATTTAAATGATTTTCATTAAACGTAAATATGCTACTTATATGGACATTAATAGTACGTTTATGTTGGGCTTAAATTGTCAATTCCATTGAATACATGTCAAATAAATCCTCATAAAATTTGAATGTATGCAGTTAAAATTGGTCAAGCCCGAAATAGTGTATAGAAATATTTATGTATGTCATCGGCTCAGAGTATATATCTGTTAACAACAGCTGATACATTCTAATTAGATTTTTTATAAAATCAGCTGATTCTAAGATCGGCTAATGAATAAAATTTATGACCAGATTTAATCGATCATTGTTATGTTTCCCAACTTGCAATATATTTTACAATTTTTGCTAAAAAAGTTTGTTTACACAAACATTCTCTTAAGTTTGGGTAGTTAAAAATGATCTAAAGGTCTGTTTAGGCTATGCCTTCTAAATCGACTAAACTCTAAATAGAGGTATAAAATATTTACTGTTTAGACCAGTATTAAAGTGGCATAATGTTGATTTGTCAGTTGTTTATGTTTACGTATACATACATACACATTTCTCTACTTTCATATATTCTGTGTCAATTTTTCAATCGATATTTCCATAATTTTAATACTAATTGCTCTACATTAGGTTAAAAACTGCTTCAATACGAATAACCACTGGTGTACAGAATTAATTGAGAGGGATTTATGTGATCGTAACTGGGAATTCACCACAAAAAACGACTGACGAAAAGAGAACATGTGTTAACCACATACTTTAAAGTATGGAATAACCGAGGCATATTTACCTAGTGAACTGTGATATCAGTATTTGAATTTCTATATTCAGGAGGTGAATCTTTGTAGAGCAAAACATGAGAGCTGTTTGGAACTTTTTAATTTATTTACATTAATAAAAAATATTTCATGTTTTCTTAATTTTCACAAAATGATATTTACTAATATTGAAAAAAACCCATATGCCTTATAATCGTTTAACGCTAATGAAAATATTTTGCAAAGACACAATAATTTCATATACACTTTTTTGGACAAATTTACTTTATATTACATAGATACACACATACAAAATAACACATATCGCTCGCTAATATTCGTTTTATATATTTTGTTTTTATGCTACATTTACTTCAAACATGGTTTACGATAACAAATATTATTTGTTTGACACTTACTTACACTTATCATTTCCTATGAACATATGTCAAAAATGAATAGTTCCATAAAACACGACCTGTGTAAATGAAGCAGTAGACTACGAGCGCGATTTAGTAGTCTAAACTTTAATCCTGTTCACAAAACGAGTGGATATTTGACGTATACGCTATACAATTGACATTTGAGAACTAGTGGATTTCGTAAATCGAATCGCACTTTATTGGTCTGTTCCCGTGCTGCAAGAAACTACTACTTTTTATTACGATAACGAATTTTCCTTCATGACATAGGTAAAAATAAAATTAGTAAAACTAGTACATTCTTGCAGTACGGGAACAGACCATATGTCTATAATCAATGTTTTAATGTCATAGGAAAAATGATAATTATGTGTATTTGATGTAAACATAGCATACTTGCACATTTGTAAATAAACGTTCACATATGACAATTTTTTTCTAACTCACCACCTTTATATGCAACCTAGCGGAAAGGATAAATGTGTTAATAATTTTAACTCCTTTATTTTAGGCTATTTTAAGTCCAAACGTAATACCTCTGGCTCTGAACTACAAGGAAACTAAAAAATTTTGGGAACTCTATTAAGCTCAGTAGAATATATACTCTTTGTATCAGACAGCCCTAAAGGTAGAATTAATTAACCATAAGGCTACATCAATCAGCTGATTGATCCAAACCTATGGAAATCAATGAATTCGACTGATATGACTACGTTCAGATTTACGAAATCCACTCGATCTGAAATGTCAATTTCATAGCGTATCCGTCAAATATAATCCACTGGATTTGTGAACGGGATCAACCGAACTGAATTGACGTTTGAGATCGAGAGGATTTAGTAGTCTAAGCACGCTCTATGTCACTATTAACCGAATACATTGATTTCCATGGCTTTGGTTCGATCAGCTGATTGATATGACTTTATGGTTATGTCATAACTAATCCTACCTTAATTGTCATATGTGAACGTAATATCAGCATACCATTTCTGGCAGATTTACATCAAACGTCTTCACCATTACTTTGATGTATCAAACGATTTCCCTAAAATACGTTCGATGTAAATGTAGCTTTAGAATGCTCTGTTGTGTTAGTTAATTTTATCACTTTGTAATCTAAAAAAAACATAAACAAAATTGAAATAAATAAAAACAAAACTTTGTACCAATCCCAAACACCAACAAAAAATGAAAATGAAAACAAATAAAAAACTAATATTAATAAACAGTTATAGGTTAGAATTAAGTAAAGCACGAAATCAAAGCATTTTTCTAAGGAATTAAGTTAAACAATAAAACAAAATTAAATTGAATCGTAAGAAAACAACAACAATTAGAAAATTGAAACACAAAAAGTTATTTGTTAAGACATAAACTTTTTTTCAAAAGCTTTAATTTCACCTACTTGCCTTAATTCTGACAATGAAACAAAAATTACAAAAGAAAAAAATAATAAACATTAACACAAATTAAAACAACAATTATTTTTTAAAATTAAATAAATTACTATTAATAAATGTGAAAACAAAAAAACGTTTAAATAAAAAAAAAATAAAGAAACATTTTAGTAAACCTAACCAATACATTGTGTTTTGATTTGATATATCTAAACGGCAAAAACATTAGAACTTTCTACCGCGTTAACCTACTACATGAGGTTTTATTTGACATATATGCATGGCACAAAGAATAGGTAGTCCATTTAGCGCAGCTGATGTCTTGTTTAACTGTCAAAGTGGGTAATTTCTACTTGAATTCGATGTGCAGTGTTGCCAACCATTTGAAATATTATATGGAAAAATTTGACAGATAATCGAGACAAAAACAAAGGTTTTTGTTTTGATACATCACCTTATTATTGCATCATGCATATATGTAATGGAATTGACAATTAAAACCCAATGAGGTTAAAGAAATCCAGTACAATCTAAACGTACTATTAAACTCCTTGTACATTAGAACTTTTTACCGGGTTAACCTACTTTATGAGGATTTATTTGACATATATGCAAAGGAAATGACAATTGAAACCCACTGGGTTAACGAAATCCGGTTAAATGTAAACGTACTATTATACCTTTGAAAATATGATAGAGTGTTTATACAATACAAAATCTTCCTTGTTTTATTATATTCCGTTACAAAACCCATTCAATTTACAATAAAAGTGCGTTTAGATTTACGAAATCTACTCGATCTCAAATGTCAATTCCGTAGCGTATGCGTCAAATATAATCCACTGCATTTGTGGCACGATTAGGGTGACGTATACGCTATGGAATTGACATTCGAAATCGAGTGGATTTAGTAGTCTAATCGCGCTCTAAACCATGATGCAATAACAAGGTGGTGTATCAAAATAAAAAAAAATATGTTTTTAATTCGATCATCTGCCAAATTTTATCTAGTAATATTTATCATGGTTGGCAACATTTCACAGAACTTTCGTTCCATAAGCTTAAAAAATATTACCGGGGCGCGTCGGTCTTCTGCGCAGTTTTTCCTTTCATTCGACGCCGATATTCACCGTCAACGCAGATGGGCCCATAGATCTTTCGGAGAAATTTTCTCTCAAACAATCCAAGAGCTGCCTCATCTGCTTGCGTAAGTACCCATGCTTCAGATCCACATAATAGCACGGGTAGTATCAGCGTCTTGTAGAGTATGAGTTTGGTGTGGCGGGATGTGACCTTGCTTTTGACTTGCTTACTCAATTATTATTGTGAATTGAGTTCCATTATGAAAACCTAAACAAAGTCCAAATTTTTGACATTAGACTTGAGAATTGATTTTCGCTAGCTGGTGAAATTTTTGAAATTATACTTGAGGAAAAAACAGCTGACTTTCACTTGCTGGGTGACACTTGCTGAAAATGGGACAATGATATCCTTATATGGGAATTTGATGTGCAATGTTGCCAACCATGTGAAATATTATAAGGAAAAATTTGACAGTCAAACTCTAAATGCAACTAAAACCTTCAAAATACTGATAATGGGATGCTATCCTTATATGGGAGGGCTTTCAGAACATGGACCTACATATATAATTTTCTGTATATATGTATACCAGTCTTCAGGAAATATTTATACCAAAATGTGGCTACCTATTGAGAACCCTAAATACCAAATTGCAGCAGATTAGGTCTCTTGTATTGCAAATTCTATCTATAGACGCATTTATTAGACTTTTTCAACGATAGAAGCCTTTAAAGGACTTTTATAGACGATAGAAGTATTAAAAGGTCTATTTCGACGATAGAAACCTTTAAATGCATTTTTAGACGATAAAAACCTCTAAAGGTCTCTTTAGACGACATATGCCTTCAAAAGTCTTTTTCGACGATAGAAGCCTATAAAGGCCTTGTTTAGACGATAGAAGCATTTAAAGGCCTTTTTACACGACAGAAGACTTTAAAGGTTTTTTTCGATGATATAAACCTTTAAAGGCCATTATATAAAGGGCTATGCCATAACAACATATATTAAAAAATATTCTGCACTGAAGATTTTTAATCACGAAGATCCCGAAATGCCAAAATATCTACATCTGGTCAAAAAAACGCCTGTTATCGAAAAATATTTTCCAAATAAAAATTTACCAAAAAACTTTTGTAAATCCTAACAATTTTCTTCTTTGTTCCTAATCTTGCAATAGATGATTGTGCTCTCCATGTATCCGATTCCAAATAATGAGTTTGTATTTGGATAAGAATGCTAAGTTTCAGTTATATCCAGCACAAGTTTCAGTTATATCCAGCACAAGTTTCAGAGGTAATTTCAACGTTGTTCCAACAGAGAAGTTGCAAATGTAGCATCGAACCTCTTCAATTTTCTCCTGTCCATTGTTCGTGGCGTGACTATCAAAACCTTCCCAATCTGGAAATTCGTGCAGTATTCACCAATTGCGACAAATCCTTCCTCTTAACTTGAACGTGCTATGTACCAAACATGGTATAAATCCACTTGTTTTGAATTTCCCATTTCGGAACCCACGGATATTCTGAAATGTAAAATTATAATTAAACCGTGACAAGGCTTCTTCTTCTAATCATACTGAATACAGAACCCAATTCAAACTCAATAATGTTCAGACTTTCTATTATTGTAATTAAATAAAATATTCAAAACTTCCAATTATTATTTTTTCCTTTTGGCAGATTCTTTAACATTAAATTTCGGTACTCGATCCTTCTTTGCCAATATGGTATTTGACGATTCATCAATATGGACCGATGAAATGGTCATATTAATACGTTTCTCAATCACACCAATGAAGAGCTTTACATTATGCGATGTCATTGATGTTTTCGAACTGAGAACATTTAAGATCGGAGCATCATCACACGATAATTGTCTGTAAAACAAGGAGAGTGGGAGGAAAATGTAATATGTTCTCTATTTAAGTGCTGAAAATACATACTTAAATACTTCCCAAATGCCGGTTAACATTTCATGTAAACGTTTATCTAAAATTTCGGCCTTTTCTTTGGCGGCATTATTTTGCGTTTTGGCATTTTCCAACTGTTCACTAAGATATTCCAGTGATTCGGTTTTTTGTTTTTGTTCCTTTTCCAAAAGGTCGGCTTTTTGACGCTCTGTGAGAATGGAATTATATTATATTATTTAATTGCCATAGCATGTATTTTGAAATGCATACCAATTTCATCGGAAAGTTCCTGGGTGGTATCGTTTAGTACCTCCACCTCATTGCTAAGTTCATTGACATAATTAAAGAGGGCAAAATTCTCTTCTTCTTGGCGTTTAAATTGTGCTGCCAATTTACTGGTATCCGGTTCCTTATATAGATCCTGGAAGGAACATTATTTTATTGCAATATGTAAATAACTATATTGATTTCAAAATATTACCTTCATTTTATCAATGATTGCCTTATAATCCTGCAATTGCCTTTCAAATGCTTCCTTTTGAGCCATCTTCTTATTGACTTCCCTTTGTTCGAGTTCAGGGTTTTGCCTTTTCTGTCCCTTTATATCGAAGAACTTTTGCAACTTGGCATCATGCTCCAAGCGTCGTTGCATTTCACGCATTTCCTACAAAAATTGTTGGGAGGATTATTAGATACTGTAGTGATGCTGATCATACCCGATACTAATGTATTTTTTGTTCTCAATAAAAAATATGTTTATCGTTACTAATCAATTTTTGTTCTCAATAAAAAATAGGTTTACCTGTATATGTATTATTTTATCATTCTCACTACGATCTTTTAGTAATTGTAATTTATTACACAGCTCCTCGCGTTGATCATAGGCCAATGTCGATTGATCGATTAAATCCATAATGTATTTTTTACCCTCATTAAATTGTGTAACCATGGATTGCCACATTTCATTAAAATTAGCTCTGAAAATGGAAGAAAAAGAGAAGATTAGAAAACGGATAAAGTGAAGAAAACTAGGACACATGAGGATATTCTAACAAAAACAATTCGATTATGCAGAGCTGTTCCAGGGCATAGAGATGACCAATTTCTGACCGTAGTTAAAACGTTGGACTATTTGATCATCAATGCGGTGGTCGGAGTACTTAGGGCGCAAAAAAAGAAGACTTTGCTGACCTCAAGGAGGCGCGTCAGGAGAAATCATCACCTAGAGAGGGGTCCAAACATGAACCTCTAAATTTACAGGTTTGATTTGCATTCGTGCAGATGAATTCGCCCAAGCAGTAGAATAATAATTACATATGCCCATGATGCGGACCAGGACCACACGGCAGGTTGCACCTATTCAACTGTCCAGCTGGGTTTACTCACATGTCTCCAAATTCCCTGTTTATGTAGCCCATACAGGTTGCAACTTTCCGAATTTAAATACAGAGAAGTCAGAACCAGACAATGGATAACAAATCCATTTTTTTTTTTTTTTTTTTTTTTGAATCGCTTTTGGTCCTTTTGGGCTAGATTCTCGGTCATGAAATAAATTGAAATTGAAAAATTTAAATTGAAATCCTCTTTTCATGGATTTCAGTGGCTACAACAACATAATTTGTGCTGAATGCCCTGCTGACGGAAGAATTTCTCAGCTAAGCGCTGAAATAGATCCTCTAGTCTTTCAGCATGGGCGCTCTAAATGGTAAAATCACCTTAACTGCTGCTATATAAATTCCAAGTAGCTATGGTCTACTATTAAAAGTCGATCTGGTTCCAAAAGAAATAAAAAATCTCCCTCCAATTTCTTCAATAATATACAACATGCGGATGCAAAAAAAATGTGCATTACAATTCTGCCGCCGATTCATTGATCATCCATCTTCGCAGAACTGGATCAAGCGAACAGTTATCCGGAGATACAAGAATCTTAAAAGAGACTTGCAGCTCCTATCATTTACATCCAGCGAGGTAGCGGCAATTATCTCCAAATCAAAGCAATCCAAAGCCCTTTGGCCCTGGCGGCAGATCCATGTGCTTGCTAAAGAAGTTTGGTGTAATAGAGCTGGTTTATGTGACCAAAGTTCTCGAGTAATCGATGTCACAGTTGGTAATTCCTGATATTTGGAAAGTTGGACGGATTTCTCTTTCACCAGTAGCCAAGGTTTTAGATTCTCTATTGCTTCCGGTCCTGCAACATCATTTCCTTCTTGCTTCCCACCAACATGGTTTCAGGGAAACATATAGCATAAAAACGGTTTTGCAAGAATTTACTTCAAAGATTGCGAATGGCTTCAATCAGCGACGACCGAGTGAGCAGACCATTGTAGCAGCATTAGATCTGTCCAAGGCGTTTGATAGGTTGATCATTCCGAGCTGATATCCGGCAAATTCCATTCTTTCGAGTGATATTAAGCGTTGGCTTGCCAACTACCTTAACGGGCGACAAACCTTCGTTGAGTGGTCAAAAATCCAAAAATCGCAAGATCAAAACAGAAGTACCGCAAGGCGGTATCCTATCTCCCACTTTGTTCAACATGTATCTGACGAAACTCCCCCTCCACCAGATGTTTCAGTGGTCTCGTACACCGTCTGGCGTTAATATTGAAAAAATTCTAACTATTTAGCCATCTTCCGGTAGCGTAATCTAAAATTATCCACTGCAAAGTCTACAGTGTTACTTTTCACTTCCTGTACCCTAGAAGTCAATTTAGACTTTACAACAACCTTTTTCAGTAAAGCACAATGGGGGAATTTGAAAACGCCAATTGAACTGAAAGACACAGGCCGTTATCTTTGTAGAAAAGTCATTTCTGAAGCTGTGGTCGTTGGGGTGAAAGGTTCCAAAGGCCTTTTCTCTTTGTCATCAAGCCCTATCTACAAATGTAATGTTCCCAAATATTAACTTATTCAATATAAATAAAATGGTATAACAAAATTTACAACAGCTACACAAACTATGGACAAAAATATATATTTGTACTCACCGATCTTGTAGCATATGATTAATATTATCCCTCAGCTTGGAATTCTCTGTCAGCACATCACTGCATTTCTTATTGACCACATCTAAACGATTTTCCAATTTCACCACACTTTTTTGGACTTTACATATAGTGTCCTTATAACAACTATCGGGAACTTCCAATTTGCGCATGCCATCAATTTCTTTTTCGATCTGGAAAATAAAAAATTTAACAATTAAAAATGTGACACTCGGTGTTGCCGACAGATATATACCCTCAGCCTATGACATTTGTATTTTACACGTATGGTAGTTTTGAATGATATTTGACTTCCGGAGGTCTACGAAATCAATGTCAAGTTGTTTTCTTAATTTTTATCAAATGTATCATTTTTCAAAATTGTGAAAGTTTGTAGGGTAGGTACCAGAGATAATCGGCCTATATAGCCGGTAGTTCATTCTATGTATAAGGTATATGTTTATATCAAAGAATTTACCATTAGTGGGGATGTACGGGAAGAAGTTGACCTATAGACCCGTTCTTGTATTCCATTCAATAAACCTCCATTCATTCCATTTTTAAAACATTTACCCTTTGTAAGGAAGGCACCAGAAGGAGTGGAACGATGGTTCCCAACATGGTACGAAGCCAATTTTTAGGCGTGCATATAACCTTATTAGTCATAAGGCTGAGGTTATAAAAAAATGTCCAGCATTCACTAAAAATGTCCTTACCTTTTTGATATGACCCTCCAACTCCCACAAATTGGTGCGTTCATTTTGTAAAATACGTTGAACATCGGCTTCTTGCAGCTGTAGAGTTGACAATTTCTTTTCTTTCTGGAAATAATTTTTTCAATTTGTTATTACAATATTTTTTATAATCAAGGCGTTAATAACATACTCCAACACTCCTCTTGGCATGACTACCACCTTCTAATGTTATAATCTCGGTGGTCAATTGTTGATGTTCCTTTTGCAGGCCACTTATTAGATGATTTTGTTTCTTCAATTGTTTGGTCTTATAATCCAACAGCCCACGCAATTCCAATTGCAAAGAGCGGAGCTAAACGAGGAGGAATGTAATTTTTAATAAGTGTAATATGTTCGCATTGTAATCTCATATTATACCTGTCTTTGTAAACGTTCCAATTCGGCATTGGCCAATTGATCCAATTCCGCTTGATTGGTCATTATCAAGATATTTCCATCTTTCTTTTAATTACCAATAAAATTTTGCCTTCAAACGTTATCAATTCTTCTTAAAAGAAATTAGAGTTTTCTAAACAGTTTCCAAGCATGTTACCTTGGTAACAAAAACGAATGAAGGGAACCTTGATTTTGAACATTTGTTTTTAGTAATTTTTAAAAAACCGCTATTAGATTTGTATGAATTATCGGGTTAGTAATATCATGAACGATCCTGTTTTATTTTAAAAGTTATTAAACTTTTAAAATTTTATTTAAATTTCTTTATTTAATATTGTTTTCTGGCAAACATTTCCCGCCATTTTTTACTTTTCCGTTTATATTTTTGTTGACTTGATGTTGGCAATGCCGTCAGTGCTGCCAATAACCGGCTAGTTTGTTTTGACAGTTCATGCATAACAGCTGTTACTTACAGGTTATGTAAAATTAATAATAACCAAAAGAACGGCCTGCAATTTTGTGAACTATTTATTAAATAAAAGATTATTAATATATAAAAAATGGTATCACCAACCCTGCCTCTGCTTGTAAGGACCCGTGGTCCCGATGAATTTTGGCGCAAGAGGAAAATCTTCAAATTGGCAGCGGTAATAAAAATCTTAATGTTTATTTCATTCATGATTTTCACATTGCCTTCCCATTCCCCTTCTGTAGCATTATCGTGGCCGTCGCCGTAATGTTTATTCCATTACCATTAAAAATGTCCACCGCGCCTTGGTCTACGCCACCAAGGGACGCAAATTGAAGAAATTGGATATGAAAGAGGTATGTTTGCCAACATTTATTTTAATAATTATTAATTGGAATTTCTAAATTAATGTGTGTGTGTGTATGTTTTGTTTTTGTAGTTATGGGATACCAGACTGCAGGCCGGCTGTGAACAATATGGCATTTCAATTGAAACTTTCAAAGATTGCTTGGCCAGAAATAATATTTTGTTAAATAGGTAAGAAATACGATTATTGTGGAAACGGATATTATTGCAATGTTAATGGCCATAGAAGTACCCAAAGTTCTGATTTTTATTTCTCAGAGATACTCCAAAATAGTGTTGAGTTATGTGTAGCTGTGAAAGTACACAAGATAACATCTGCAATTGTTAGACAATACAAAACCGAATTACCTCTTAAACAATCCGATTCTGAATAGCCCAAATACTTTCAAATCAGTCCCATCCATCTTCGGTCTGCTATAATAACATCAACAGTCGATTTATCTGCATATCCATTCGACTGTTTTTATAAAGTCTATGGTGAAAGCTGCTCTTATATTATAGGAGCATATTGAATTTTCATATCTTAGAAATATTTTAATAGTCCGCAATATTTATATATTTATTATATATTATTATATATATTGTGGATTTCAATTGAATCGTAATAACTGTAGCCATTTATGGCTTGTTCGTATTAACATTTGAGAAAGTATTGCATTCTCAATCTACTTTGAATTGACTCGCAGCTACAATCGACCAGAGCATGGTCGAATTCCTAAAAAAAAACCACCACACATCCACGATAATGGATCACGTTTTGTTGTTTATAATTTATAGAAACAAACGGTTGAAGGAAAAGGAAAATTTATTAATTAGGAAATCGGAGAGCTGGAGAAATTGTGCCACCTTTATTGGCTTTAGCCATAAGTCTATAGGCGATAGACTTGCAGGCTCGGACAGACAATTGAATAGATGGTGTGTGTGGTGAGGGATTTGTTGGCAGGAGGGGCACCTGTTTAGGTTTCTGGGGACAATGCGCTCTCGATATGAGTTGAAAACATTGCTGTATCCGGACCTTAGTTGTGATAGAATCTCCGAAATTGCAGGAGGATGTTGTAGAAGGACGTATTGCATCTGTAGCCATTTCGGAGACGGCCACGGACTTCATCGCGTTCGCTATCGACAATCTGTTGACGTGCGATGGAATGACGGATGTATCGCGGAGGTGGATCTGCCATCACTGTATGATGGTTCTTATGACACGACAGATGGCATGCCAGCAGGAACTGTCTAGTCAACAACACATTATGGTGTCTGACTTACGGCATCCTGGTCTCCTCATGGAGGTGATCGACGCTTGTCATCTAGACACAGCCAGTTGCAATTCGGAGTGCATTATTTTGAATTGTTTGCATTGTGTGTCGCCGAGGAAAGAAGTCCAGACTGGTGAAGCATAATTAAGGATGGACTGAACTATGGCATTATATGTTGTTGTAGGTTTTACATAATGGGCTAAGGTCTTATATGTCGTTGGAACTTATCGGTCCACTTCTTCTAGTCACTTCCCCCAAAAACATTCAAACATATATTTATATTGAGAAACCTCTTCCACAGATGAACTATTTGATAAAAACGAATAATAAAACCAGTGTTTAATAATTCTGTATACACCGCAAAAAATATGCTAGGGGTATGCATCTACCGGCAACGCCGATTAAAACTTTTATACCCTTCACCACACTGTGGTGAATTGGATGAAATTTGGCACAGCCCCTATTGAAATTGGAGAAAATCGGTTCAGATTTAGATATAGTTCCCATATATATTTTCGTCCGATTTTATCTAAAAAATTTTGCACTGCGTACTGAATTAAAACGTATGGAATTGAAACTAGGATAGAGTATTTGAAGTTTAATTGAAATCAGAACAGATATAGGTATAGCTCCCATAAATAGCTTCGTCCGATTTTATGTAAATGGTGCAACAAACTCCCAATTGTTGTCCGGTTTTGACGAAATTTCGCATAACGTATGAAATTATGACTAGAAAAGAGTGTGTTAATTTTCATTGAAATCGGATCAGATATAGATATAGCTACCATATATAGCTTCAACCGATTTTATGTAAATAGTGCATCTCTTGTATGTACCCAAAGTGGTGAAGGGTATCATATAGTCGGATCCGTCCGACTTTTTATTTTTCCTTAATTGTTTAAATTATTTTGGTAATCTTAATTATCGTACCGATGTATTCATCTTTCAAAGAGCTATCCAATGACATCGCGTTCGAAAATTGGTAGAGAGAAGTTTGAGCTTATTTTTACTCTTATCGAATTTTTCCCATTCTGTCACCAGGAGCACCACCCGATTCATCTCTGTTGATTGTTTCCCTTACGGACAACTTTCAATTGAGAGCTCTCATTTAATCAATCGGTTCAAATGAGATAGAGGGCATTTCGAATTTAAAGAGGTGCCTTTTTAAACTAATGTTTGCCGTTTTCACAGTTTTTAATTCAAAAACGTTCCCCTAACTACTTTTTTAATTGATTTCATCAGGTTTTGGTTTCATATATAATATATACATGCCGTAATATGCAGATTCCCTATCCTTGTTTAATTAAATATCATCATTTCATATGTAATTACGTTGATTTTTTTTAATTTGAATACATCCCAAAAGATTTATTTCTCCCCTACAGAATCTTCTAGAAACCCAAATACATTTTTCGTTAAGAAAATTCTTACTTATTTTCGTATCAAATAAAATATATGTGTCTTTCTTTCATTTTCCAGAAAAGTCCTATCGGATTTGGCCATCTGGGAACCGAGATCATTTGAGGCATTGGTGAATTTGTCTCGTGAAAGAGCTGTCGTTGAAACTCTGCCCGGTCTAAATGAACGTTCGGTTATGAATCAAGTCTATGGGCTGGCCAATTTGAAAATTAAATAAATTTAACTTTATAAGTTTAACCTGTGCTTTAGTATAAGTTGTTGATAAATAAAAAAAAATAAATAAAAAAACACAAATTTTGATTTTTTTCTTTTGTATCAAATAAAATATATGTGTCTTTCTTTCATTTTCCAGAAAAGTCCTATCGGATTTGGCCATCTGGGAACCGAGATCATTTGAGGCATTGGTGAATTTGTCTCGTGAAAGAGCTGTCATTGAAACTCTGCCCGGTCTAAATGAACGTTCGGTTATGAATCAAGTCTATGGGCTGGCCAATTTGAAAATTAAATAAATTTAACTTTATAAGTTTAACCTGTGCTTTAGTATAAGTTGTTGATAAATAAAAAAAAAATAAATAAAAAAACACAAATTTTGATTTTTTTCTTTTGTTTTTCAAAAACAAATAAAGCGTAAAACCGTTTTATTTATCTTCAGGAGAGATATACAAAAATGTACATACACACAAAAATAAATATTACATATTGATGAGGAGTCCTCCTCAACCGGATATTAAAGGATAACAAATTTACCGGTCGTCTCGGCGCACATCAATTGTAACATTATTTGGATATAGTTTTTTGTTATAGATTAATTTACAAACTACTTAATTATTTTTTTAGACAATTCCCTCTCGTAAAAATATAGAGAGAATTGACTAGAAACAAATTAAACGCGATTACATAAAATTAATTAAAATTACAATGAAATGCTCCTCTGTGTTCCATATTTCATGGGGAAGAAGGTGATTTGAAATCTATTCCAATTTGGCCAAAATGTCAGATTCACGGAAAAGCAAATATTCCTTTTTGTCTTCCATTTCGACCTTGGTGCCACCGAATTCAGGCAACAAAATGCGATCACCTTCTTTGACGGCGGGTTTGATGTGTTCACCAGTTTGCTGGAGGAGGAGAAAAGGGAAATTAATAAATAGAACTGGTCGAAATCGGGGTTCAAAGAAATGGAATGTCTTTTCCGTTTTTATACTTACAGCATTACGGGCACCAGGACCAACAGCAATAACTGTGCCTTCCATCATCTTGCCTTGGGCCTTTTCGGGCAAAACAATACCACCCTTGGTGGTGGTCAAAGTTTCGGCACGCTTAACCAAAACGCGGTCCAACATGGGGATAATTCTCTTGATGGCAGACTAGAATTGAACATTTGTACAACAAAAAAAAATCATTAATTTAGTGATAAAGTCCACGTTTTCATTCATTCATTAAACATAATCTTTAATTCAATCTGCTCCTCCAACTCATAATACACCCCACACAATGGTGTACTACCATTATCTCAATATGTTCTAATTGTTTCTATTATTACACAACACCACACATCGAAGAAGACACCGGCTTCTCCCATCCAAATAATTTCATCTTTTATCAGTGCACAAACAGAATTATCGAGAATCTTGAGTTTCCTTTATAAACTTATTTAGTTGTGTTTAATTATTTTTTCAATAACAACTCACCATTGTGTTTATTAGTTGTTATTTCAATTAAACTTTATGAGGTAGTTTAATTCAAAAAAAATGTTCACTTCGCTCGAAGAAACTTCGCGAATTTGCTGAAAAATTTGCACGTGTAACGCAGAGAGTTGTTAACAGCTCGGCTTTTCTCGTGTTAATAATTTGAATTTTTGGGAGAACTTTGCACAAAAGTAAACTTTGGTTACTTTTGAGGCAACTATCGAGTATTTTCTTTTGAATGAATACCAATTACTTAACATCGCAGAAGTTATACTATAAATACAACACTGTGATGTTATCAACACTGTCTGTTATAAGAACGTACGTAGAATGACAAAACACAGGATTCCTTGACACTAGAGTGATGTATCAGAAAAAAAAACATTTTTTTACACGACCTACTGTCAAATGTTATCTAGTAATATTTCTCATGATTGGCAACATTACACATCGAATTCAAGTATAAATTACGAACTTTGACAGTTAATCGAATAGTCAGCTGCGCTAAATTGACTTATCAATTTATTGTGCCATGCACGGTATCTTCCGGCAGAATGAGATTGAGTGTAGGGATTTGGTATGTAATTTCAAATCCAATCCTAAATCTTTTTATGACTGTGTTAATATAAAAAGAAAATCTACGTCAAAACCCACAATTTCGAAATTCAATATTTAGACATTTGAGAATAACTCTGAAATTTCAGAGTGCTTTGCAAATTTTTTTTCGATACAACTTATTCATATTCACCTTGTCAAAATAAAGACACACATAGTTATAAATTATCGACGATAGATCAAATATCTATCCATTTTACACAAAGTCAATATGTTTTTAAAAATCTACGTATTTTAAGATCAATTAAAATTCCGGGTCACATGGCATTCCTAGCATAATTCTGAAGTACTGATCAGATACATTGGCTATCCCTTTAACGCTGTTGCCATTTACATTAATATGTAAGGACTTGTACTATCCCCTACGGCTTTACGATATTCATATATGCCGTTACGTAGATAGAATACAATTAAATCGCCATTACTACTTGTAATGCGGACAGAAAACTTTTTGATAGTCCATGATACAATGTAATTGAATATACAAATTTATCCTATCTTCTATATAACGTAGCTGTTTGGGGAGTAGGCGAATTGCTACGCATTATATACACATTTGTATACCTTTAGTTATATTACTTAGGTGGAAATACACACATTAAGGTGGTCATAGAAATAAGGGGCTTAGTCCCATGTATTTATGCACGAAATACATTTAAGGACTTATTTCAGTAGGGTTTGAGCAAAACAAATTATCTGTACTATTTTTCATCCCAATTGAATAATAATTACGACCAGTATTTTATTTAAGGGGATCCCCCCCCCATTCTCGGGGTCAAAATTTTTGTTGATATAATTCGTATCTACCCTGATAAAAAGAATGTCTCTACAAAATTTCAAGTGAAAATCTCAAGAACTCTTGAAGATATATCCGATTTATTGTGTCAGCATCAAGTGACGGCTGAAGGGTTTCTCAAACTTTAAACGCGTTTTTCTCTAAACATTTTTATGTGAATGGCGGGCACGATAACTCAAAAACTAATAATCCAATCGGTTCCAAATTTTGCAACGTTTCTCTGGGAGTGCATAGCTCTCGTATGAACTAGGATAAAGCCAATCGGTGAAGATCTTCCTAATTTTTTAAATTGGTTTTTGGTAAAAAATCGGCGATTTTCCAAAAATATTTTTTCAAAGGTCCACCATTTTGTTAATTTAAGAGCGATGTCAATAATCCTAGTTCATACGAGAGCCAGACATGTACTCTTTCTAACACCGTTGGAATTTTCGGATTCCGATGTTCCAGTGAGGAGTTATCATGCCCGCCATCAAAAATAAGGACTTTTCTTTAATTACAAAAAAAACAACAAAACAACAACAAAAATTTTTTGTAAATTATTGTTCTTCTATTTTAAATCTTCAATTATATATGTGCAAAGTTACAAACCTTAGCAAGCATTAGTATTGATTTACCAGCCCATTGAAAATCTTGAAAAATTAAAATCGAGAATGGGTGGGGTTCCCTTAAGAAAACATCTGAATAGTAGGGATGATACATTTTCATATAAGACGTAAACATACGCCTCAAACACAAACAATTTTTACTTGTTTTTATTAATATTGTAATTATTTTTGTTTTTATTTCAGATTAACAAATATAACAAACAATCAAAATTTAGATATTTATTAATTCATATTTAATTCAAAATATTTGTAAATTAAATTGTTTTGTTAAGATTTTATTATTAAAAAATAAATGAATGAAATAAATTTATTTAACTTCTATCCAATCGTGTTTCCCTTCATTATTGAAGTATTCTTGTGGAATTATTTCAGCGTTTCCCTTTCGGGGATTATATGCGGAATCCACTTCACTTTCATTGACTATGTTTCGTCGTGTTCTAGCAAAAAGTTGCGTAAATCACCGCAATCAAATGTTATCGCTTGCACATTCTCAACTCGTAAGTTCATTGGCGATAAAAAAACTCGGAATCTATTCGCAAGAATTCCGAAATCATGCTCTACAACATGTCTTTCTCGAGAGAGTCTTGCATTGAATGTTTGTTTTTCCCTAGAGTTTGTGTGGTATGGATATGGTTTCAATAAATGTGTTTGCATCGGAAAAGCATTGTCTCCCACTACCACATATGGAAGGCACCGGTCTTTACCCACCACTGAGTTCATAGGTATTTCTTTTCCTTCCATCAACCCTCTTCTCAATTTACTTTGCAGAAACAGCCCAGCATCATTACCAAGGCCATTGCAACCTATACCGACGAAAATAAATTTGCAATTGGCATCAACTAGGGCCATCAAGATAATGGTGTTTGCCCTTTATAGTTATGGTAGAATGCACCACCTTTTCGTAGTGGTCTAAAGGTAATATGCTTTCCGTATATTGCACCTAGGCAGTTTGGGAATTTCCATTTTATGGAAGAATAGATTTGGTTCGATGGAACTTTTTTTCCTTAGTCTTGATTTAGATTAGGCGAGTTTATTTGCGGCAAGTCTTTGTTTGTAGGAGAGAGGGGCCAGGGGAATAGAAATGAAAAAAAATTGCTCGTACTGACAATTTTCTGGCAATTCGTTTTGTGTATTTCGTATTTGTTGACATTTTATATAGATTTAAATGTAAAAAAACAACAAATAGAAAAATATTTCGGAAACCGAATTGCCTTGTATAAACGCATGAAGCAAGCACCACAAAAAAAAATCACCTAATCTAAATCAGGAAATATATTCGCAGAATCTTGAAATTTTTGACACTCCAACAGAGATATATTTTTAATAAAAACTTATTTTTTATGATTTTGTATTTTATTTTTGATTTATGAATATTTCTTTAATAAATACTGATGATAAAATCGAATATTTTTATATTTATTTCATTAATTTAAACTATTGTCTATTCTAAACGTTATTATACTAACTAGTTGCATTACCAAAAAAGAAAAACACTCACGTTTCTCCACCCACCGACAATACGATCTGGCAACACTGCGGTTACATGATGAGTACCAGTTGCTCAAATAACCATATTGTTGACAACACTCATATTTTGAAGTTTATAAACTATCACACGTGTTTGAGAACGTGAAGTGCTGTTAAAATAAAATATCTCCACATTTTCTGAATAAAAATCCTAAAAAAATGGGCAAAATCAAGACTGAACCTTTGGATGATACCACCAGCGAAGTTTTAAATGTAACCAATGTCAGTGTAAAGGAGGAGGATACCTACGATGATAAGCTGAAATATGTGAATGCCATTTCACAGCCAATGGCCTCCAAGAAGATTGCCAAGAAGTGCTACAAACTCATCAAGAAGGCCATGAAACATAAGACATATTTGAGGAATGGTCTGAAGGATGTACAGACACGTTTGCGTAAAGGTGAAACTGGGTATGTATGATGAGAAATGAGGTAGAAAGTAATTGGAGGGCATCATATTTACTTATTGGTATTCTTTTTAGATTGGTCATCTTTGCCGGAGATGTGACACCCATCGATATCATGTGCCACTTGCCAGCAGTGTGTGAAGAAAAAGGCATCCCATATGTATATACTCCTAGCCGTGCTGATTTGGGTGCCGCCATGGGTGTTAGACGGGGTACAGTTGCCCTATTGGTGCGAGAAAATGAAGACTACAAAGATTTGTATGATGAAGTTAAGCAAGATATTTCCACATTATATGTTCCATTGTAGGCTGAACATAGCACAAAATCCAAAATAGTTTCTTTAGTTTGTTAAGCAATATGTTAAGAGATTTTTATAAGAAATATATAAAAAATCAAGTTTTAGAAATATAACTACAAAACCCAAAAAAAGAAGAAATCGCATTTTTAATCATATTTTTCCAAACAGTCGCCATGTGGGTAAATCGAAACAACAAAGTGGGGATTTTTTTTTAGTTTGTCCCTTAGGGATCTTTTTTGTTTTATTATTTTTTATAACCTTTTTCTTTTTGTTTTTTTTTTCTGTTTTCATATAATTTTTAAAAATTTGTTATTTTGTTTTGTTTGCTAAATTACTTTTGAAATACATACATAATATATACTTTACTCCATTTGTTTATTAATTTTATAATTACATATATAAATTGTTTTACTTTAATTTACTTATTTTTTGTTAAATATTTTTTTTCTTATTTATTTTTTATTATTGTACAATTAAAATTATGTTGCATATAAATGTCTTAGGGTGGAGTGGGAGGGGAGAGGATTGCTTAAAATAATTTAAAAATTTGAGATTGTGTAAGGGAAATTAGGAAAATATATTGGAATTTGGGTAAAACGTGATCAATTTTGTCACCAGCCCAAGTTTTTCTTCTGAAAAAATATATATTATCTTTCTTATAAAACCAAACAAGAAAAAAATTACAAAACAAACAAAAAATAAAAAAAAATTGAAAATTTTCCTTTAAAATTTTTTAAAATAAAAAATATGTAAAGAAAATTAATAAACTTTTCTATATAGGAAATTAATCGATAAATTTTCTATAATGAAAATTTTTATTTATTTTCTATAAAACATTTATAAATTTTGCAAAAAAATGAAATTAAATGCAAATCGATAAATTTTATATAAAGAATATTTTTTAAAAATCGATACATTTTCCACAAGGAAAATTAGTGCATAATTTTTTTATTAAGAAAATTTTCTACAAATAATATTTATAAACCGATAACAATTTTATAAAAAAATTGCAATCAGTAGTTTTTTCACAAAGAAAAAATTTAAATAAATATTTTTTCAATTTCTATTTCGAGATATCTATCAATAAAGAAATTTTATAACAATCAAATATATTTAAAATTTGAAAATTGATAAATCCATAAATTTTTTATTACGAAAATTTGTATAAATCGATCATTTATAAAGAAAATTATTTCATCGATACGGAAATTAGTATAAATCTATAAATAGCAAATAAATCGATTACTTAAATTTCTTAATAAAAAAATAAAGATTAATATTGCAAATTTTCTCAATAGAACATTTGCCGATTAATACATTTTCTCTATAGAAATTTTATCGATTAATAAATTGTTTCTGCCAAATTTTTATCCATAAAAAATGTTTAAAAAAAATTCGTGATGTGAAATTTATCGACAAATATATTTCTATCGATATATATTCTTTCCTCATAGAAAATTTATCGATATATACATTTTCCTTATAGAAATTTTATCGGTAAATTTTTTATAAAGAAAATGTATTTATCGATAAATTTTCAATAAAGTAAATAAATTTATCGATAAATTTCCTAAAAAAAAAATGATGGATAAATTTTCCGTAAAAAAATCTTTTATAAATATTTTCAAAATCGAAAATATATCGGTATAAAAGTTATGTGAAATTTATCGATAAATAAATGTCTATCGATATATATTCTTTTCTCATCGAAAATTTATCGATATGTATTTTTCATAGATATATCGATATATACATTTTCCTTATAAAAAATGTATAAAAAATCGATAACTTTTCTATTAAGAAAATGTATTTATCGATAATTTTTTATAAAGAAAATTTATTTATCGATAAATTTTCTATAAAGAAAATATTCCTATCGATAAATTTTCTAAAAAGAAAATTTCCTTATCGAAAAATGTTCTATAAAAAAATTATTTAACGATAAATTTTCTCTAAAGAAATTTATTTATCGATAAATTTTCTATAAAGAAAATTTATTTATAGAAAATTTATTTATAGATAAATTTTCTATGAATAAAATTTATTAATCGATAAATTTTCTTTGATAAAATGTATTTATCTAAAACTTCTATGAAGAAAATTTATTTATCGATAAATTTTCTATAAAAAATGTATTTATCGATTTTTAAAAACTAAATTTATTCATCGATCAATTATATAAATTTATTAATCGATAAATCTTCTATAGAGTAAATTTATTTATCGATCAATTTTCAATATAGAAAACGTATTTATAGATATATTTTATATAGACAAAATTTACTTATCGATAAATATTCTATACGGAAAATTTATTTATCTATATATATTCTCTATAAAGAGAATTATTTATCGATACATTTTCTATAAATAAAATTTATCGATATATTTTCTATAAAGAATATTTATAAATAGACGACAATTATTTATGGATTTCTATAAATTTTATCAATAGAAAACTTTCGATTAATTTATAAATTTTGTCTATATAAAATATATATATCGATTTATGTACATATAAAAAATCGGTATAGATACTTATTTTCTTTAAATTAATCGATTTATAAATTCATCGATAATTAATTTTCTTTATAGACATTTTTTCATAATTTTGATAGTTTTCTACAGAATTTGTGTCGATTTAAATTTTATCACAGACAATTTGTCGTCCTTTAAATTTTCCTAATAAATATATCATTTATCAATTATAAAAACTAATTATCAATTATTTGCTAAAAATCCTTTTTCGAAAAAATGTTTAAGAAAACAAGAGAAACATTTTCTTTGTTGAAAATGAAAAATCTAAACCTAAACAGATTTAGGTTTTGGATACATAATTTCCAAAATAATTCAACAGACTGGGTGGTGAATTTTAAAATTCTCTAAGTGTAATTGTTTACTTAATGTTTTTTTCCTGTTTACTTTTGTTTTCAACGAAAAAATAAAATATAAAAGTGAATTCATAATGTTTTTTTTTTTGTATTTGTATATATTTTAAATATTTTTTTTTTTAATTTTTTAAATATATTTTCGATATATTTTTGTTTTACATAAGCTTAATTGGTAAATTGTTTTAATGATTGGTTGTTTTTTAATCGGTTTTTTATTTTACTTTTAGTAAATGACAATTTAAAATTTCTTCTTAAATTTTTTGTTTTAATTATATATATTTACTGAATATATTAATAAAAAGCATAATAATAATTAATGATGATAATAATCATAATATAATAGTATTTAATAATTATAAAACAATGTAGTAAATAATAAACACTATTTAAAAAATATGTATGTTTTTGTTTTCTTGATAAGTTATAATTAATGTTCTATATATAATATAATAGTTTATTTTTTGTTTGTTAGTTTTATTTATTTTTTGTTTATTTTTGCATACATATACATATAAAAAGTTTTTGTTTTTTGTAATTTTTTGTTTGATTTTTTTCAATGTTTTTTTTTAAGTAATAAAATATTTATAAATTAAATTATTACAATAAATGTGTGTATTTAATTTGTTTATATTCTATATATAATAAATTTTCTTTTGTCTAAAAACTAATACAAATAATATTTATATAGATATTTATTTATATTTTTCGTTTTTTTGTTTGTTTTTTTTTTCTTTTTATGAAAATGAATTTTTATTATTTGCAAAAAAAAAAAAAGAAATAAAAACATGTTTTTGTAGTGAAATTTTGTTTTTGATTAAATCAAATAACTGGCTAATAAATTAGATTTAACCAAAAAGAAAAAATGTGAGAAAGAAAAGTGGGAAAATTTGATTGGAAACGACGCATATATCTTTTTGGGAAAATGTTCTATGAAGAATCGATTAATACTTAAATATTGAACATGGAGAAATTATTAAAATTTTATGTAGAAATATTTATAAATCAATAAATTTTTTACAGAAAAATGTATAAATCGATAAATTTTCTATAGAAAACTCTAAAAATCGATAAATTTTCTATTTAAAAATTTATAAATCGATAAATGTTCTCTAAGAAAATTTATAAGTCGATAAATTTTCTATAAGAAAATTTATAAATCGATAAATTTTCTATAAGAAAATGTATAAATCGATAAATTTTCTATAAGAAAATTTATAAATCGATAAATTTTCTATAAGAAAATTTATAAATCGATAAATTTTCTATAAGAAAATTTATAAATCGATAAATTTTCTATAAGAAAATTTATAAATCGATAATTTTTCTTTAAGAAAAAATTTTCCATATTTTTTAATTTATCGATTTATAATTTTTTTTGTAGAAAATTTATTAATTTAATTTATGTATAAATAAATTTTCTATAAATTAATTTATAAATCGATAATTTTCTATAAGAAAATTTAAAAATCGATAAATTTTCTGCAGAAAAAAATTATAAAACAATAAATTTTCTGTGTATTTTACAAATCGATACATTTTCTGTGATTGATTTATAAACCGATAAATATTTTAGAGACAAATTTGCAAATCGATAATTATTCTATAAACATATTATAAATCTATAAATTTTCTGTAAGTCAATACATTTTTGTAGAAAAATGTAAAAGTCGATAATTTTTCTATAGAAATATATATAAATCGATAACTTTTTTATAAAAAAATAAATCGATAAAAAATGTATCAATTTATATAAATTTTCTTAATAGACAGTGTATATAAATCGATAAATAAATTTTCTTAATAGGAAATTTATCGATTTTATAAATTTTCTAAATAGATAATTTATCGATTTATATAAATTTTCTTAATAGAATGTTTATATAGATCTATAAATAAATGTTCTTAATAGAAAATTTATCGATTATATAAATTCTCTTAATAGAAAATTTATCGATTATATAAATTTTCTTAATAGAAAATTATCGATTAATATAAATTTCCTTAATAGAACATTAATCGATTATATAAATTTTCCTAATAGAACTTTTATTGATTATATATATTTTATTAATAGAAAATTTATCGATTATATAAATTTCCTAATAGAACATATATCGGTATATAAAAAAATATATCGATTATAAAAATTTATCGGTTATATAAACGTTCTTAATAAAAAAAATATCAATTATAAAAATCGATACATTTTATAGAAAATTAATCGATTTACATAAATCTTCTTTAATTTATCGATTTATAAAAATTTTCTTTATATACAATTTATCGAGTTATAAAATATCGAATCAATAATTTTTTTACAGAATTTTTTCTCTAAATGGCTATTTTTAAAAATCGATAATAACGAGGCAGAAAATACTTAACGGAGTTTTAAATTGGAAGAAGCTAAATTTTAACTTTTGGGGACCTTAATTTGATGTAATTATAACATTTCACACAAGCACAATGGATGGTCTTCTTTGGAAGAAGGCCTTTTGGTCTTCTATGGAATTCGATTGAAAATACCTTTTTAGAGTTTATAGAACGATTTCTGGTCATCTATCGAAGAAAACCTTTTGGTCCACCTATAGAAGGAGACCTTCTGACCATCTGAAGTAGGCCATTTTGGTCACCTATAGAAGAAGACCTTCTGGCCATCTGAAGAAGGCCGTTTTGGTCACCTATAGAAGAAGACCTTCAAAATCCCGTTTTGGCCATCTAAAGAGGAAAAAGACAGAAAATTCAATTCAAATATAAAATTTCACTATTTCTGATATAAATTATAAATACCAAATATAACGAAAAAAATAGAGAGACAGGTTCGCAGGATTGAATTACAAAAGTTGAACAATTGAAGTAGTTCGCTTAAAGCGAATTTTACAACATAAGGGTAAGTTTTGTGTTATTTGATTTTTTTTTTATTTTTTTGTCTATAATTAGTAGCCAAAATAAATGTAGGTTTTACCAAAACATAAATACCTGGCCAACTGTTTTCAAAAACATTTTTGCCAAAATTGCATTCATCAAAGAATGGGGAGGAGGGTGTTGTTTGGTTTTAGGGTTCATTTTCAAACTACTATCGTCTTCTTAATTCTTTTTTTATTTTACATATTAAGTATGTTTTTTTTAAATATTTTTCATAGTTTTTTTAATAGTTTTATTAAAAATGTATGTTTATTTTAATTTGTTTGTTGTATCATAGTTTTTATTTTTTCAGTTTTTTTTTTTTATTTTTGTATTTGTTGTTTATTTTTAATATTATTTTGTGTTAATTATATAGCTTAGATTATGTAAAAAGAGTCCTATATTTAAGTTCACAATAAAAATCTTATACATACAATATATATAAATTTTATATAACTTTTTCTGTTTTTTTTTCAAATATTACTTCCATTTTGTTTGTTTTTTGTTTTCATACATTTATAATTAATTTACAAAGTTTGCAAAATTGTTTTTTTTTTTGTTTTTCTATTTTTTTTATGATAACATGATTTGTGTTTGTTTCTATAAAATATTTTTTATACATTTATATATATATTTTTTTCTTTATAATATTATTAAATATATTTTTATTTATATGTATATATAAAAAACTCAAAATAGCTTTTAGAGAGTTTTTTTGTATTTTTCTTTTTTTTTGTTAGCAAAAATATTTATATCTATTATAATTCTAAAGGGGGTTTGTTTTTTTTAATTAGCTTTTTTGAATTTTTTCTTGTGTTCTTTTTTTTTTTGATTTTTTTGTTTTTGCTTTTTTTGTTGTTAGAAACAAAGTTAAGAGATTTTCTAAAATAAGGAAAAAACAATGTCTAGAGTTAATTTTAATATTATTTTAAATATTCTCAGCCAATTTTTTTCCTGTAAGAAATTTATTTACATAAAATTTTTTATAGGAGCATTTGTATATCAATAGATTTCCTTATAAAAAAATTCATAAATCAATAAACTTCCTATAAAGAAATTTATGAATCGATACCTTTTCCCCAGAAAAATATAAATCGACAAATTTCTATTTCTATATTAAAAATCGGTAAAAATTCATTAATCGACAAATTTCTCACAACAAAATTTTTGTAAATCAATAAATTTCCTATAAATAAATTCCAATAAGAACGTTGATAATAAATGATAATATATAAATTGATAAAGTTCCTACAAGAAAATTTATAGAATTTCATTGATTGATACATTTTTATAAGAAATTTATCGATTAATATATATTCTTAATGAATAAATGTTCTTATTAGAACTTTATAGATTAATACATTTTTATAAGAAAGTTATCGATTAGAATAAATGTTTTTATTAGAATTTTATTGATTGATGTATCAATGTGTTCTTATTAGGATTTTATTGATTGATACATTTTATACGAAATTTATCGATTAATACAATGTTCTTATTAGAATTTTATTGATTGATTTTAATAAGAAATTTATCGATTAACATATATTCTTAATAAGAATAAATGTTCTTATTTGAATTTTATTGATTGATACATCATTGATACATTATATTAATCAAAAAAAAAGTCGATCAATAAAATTCTAATAAGAACATTTATTCTAATACATTTCCGATAAGATAAATTTCCAATAAGAAAATTAATAAATCAATAAATTTCCAACAAGAAAACTAATAAATTTCCAGTAAGAAAATTTTCTAGTAAAAAATTGAAAAAATCGATAAATAAATTTCATAAACATCAGGATTTGTTTTAGAAAATTTTGAAATATAATAAATATCAGAAATTGTTTCCAATACCTCTAAATTGTGTACTTCGAACTTTTCAATATTTGCTTGGAAAACTTGAAAATTTGTAAAAAAATGAATAATTGTCCAAAATTATTTCTGAATATTAAAATGAAACTCTTTGAAAGTGGTGGCTAATCAAGAGAAGGAAAATACCCCCTTTTAAATTGGTAAAAAAAACTTGAAAATTTTTAAAACAAAGATAATTTTTCAAAATTATTTGTGAATATTAAAATAAAACTCCTCTTTGGAAGAGGTAAGATAAGGAAAATACCCTCTTTATAATTGTTGCGAAGTATTTCGCTTAAAGAAGACATCGGGGATTCCATGGAGTAGGTCCGTATTCAATTTTGTAAGGTTTTTTTTTATTTTACATATTAACTACAAACTACAAACTGGAAAATTCCCCCCAATGATCGATGAGAAACATGCATAGATATCACAATGATCAAAGATATAATCGGACAAGCACTGTAATATAATCCAATTATTTAAGCATTGCTTTACGATCTGAAAGGAGTTGAATTCCAAACGAATAAGAAATGTCGCCTCATAATGCCTCCGGGAATGATGCTATGGACGAATATAAATGTAATCGATTGAGCTGTTCCTTTCCACAGCAATAGGTTCAGAAAGCCACCCTTAGGGGACTAGTTGGTAAATTCAGAACATAATCGATTTGTCAATTTCGGAGTCTCTGAAAATAGGACAGTTATTTGAAAGGTTTCAAATTGGTGCGCTCGAATATTTTTTTCTTGCCCAATTGGTGGAGACTGGCGCTAAAATCTTCAAATTCCAAGCAAATTCAATCATAATAACATTTTTGTGTTAAAAAAAAAGTTAATGAAATATAGGAAATATATTTTGGCAGTGTTTAAAAAAAGCTCATATATAAGAAACAAATCTAATCGTAGACTTTTTTTAATATTTTAAAAAATTTCTTAACTTTGTTTCAACAAAAAAATAATATATATATATATTTTTTTAAATTTACTTGTTTTGGATGTGCATACTTTTTTGTTTGTTTTGTTTTTAAAAAATAATATATAAACTTAAATTATTGAAAACGTTTTTTTTAATTTTTTTATGTTTTTTCGATATTGTTTTTTTTTAATTCTATACTAAATATTAATTAAATAGCTAAATAAGTTGTTTTTTTAAATTAATCCATAATCAAAAAAAAATTATATGTATATTTATATATATATATAGAAAAGAGAACATTCAAAATAGAAAAATAAAATATCAAGTCATTGTCCCGCCATGGGGAGGGACATTGACCAGTTACAACAACAAAACAAAAGGTTCAAGGTTTAAGGCTTTTGTCTTTTGGTAAGCAGGGGGTGTGCGTACACCCAAATACAAAAACTTTATTTTAAAGTTTTGAGAAAACATTACTTTTCGTTTTTTGCTATATATAGATATGAGTACAATATGAAAATATACAACAAAATAAGAGAGATGGGTGTAATTTTTAAATAATTTCAAACAAATGGGCTAAGCGCACTAAACTAAAATAATAATTTAAAGCTAAACTTATAGAACAAAATCCATGTGTGTGTTTTTTGTTTCGTTTTCGTTTTTTTTTTTTATAAATTGCCAAACAAATACTAATTTCTATCACTTTTTCGTTTCTTGTATTACGCGGTTCTGTTCTAGCCTCCCTCTAAGGGATCTTTTTTGTTCCTTTTGCCTAAACTTGTGTGTGTAATTTTTTTATTTTTTTTTGTAAATTAGTTGCTTCTACTTTAAAATAAATATTTTTTGTTGCTCTTCTTCTTCCTGTTATAATCATACATATAATAATTATGCAAAAGCCTTTCCTTTTTTGCCTTTTGGAGTTTATTTTTTTTGTTTTTTTTTTCAATAAAATTTAAATTTATTTTTATTGAAAATAATTATAAAAACCATTCGTACCTTGACCCAGTTCTCGTATAGCTGCAAATGGATCTTTATCTCCGCCATCACCACCATTTGCTGAATTGCCGGCGGCCACATTTAAACCAGCCAGCCCTGCCAAACCATTACCCACCAAACCGGCTGCACCGCCCGGCCCCGTTGTCAAGCCAGCAGCATTATGACCATAGTTATGATGCTGTTGTTGTAATGCCGCCTCTTGTGATTGGGGTCCTTGACTTAACACAGCTGCATATGTGGTATTGCGACTATCGCCGCCCCCAGCACCTGTTGTTGTTGCTGCATTCGGACCACCGCCAACAATATTATTACCAACACTTGTATTTATCGCATTGGCTGTTGCCTGTTGATAGCTGGGCGCATGAAAACTATTTGCCACACCACCATCCGATAGAGCATTAACAAAACTATTATTACCCATAAATAAATCCATATCGCCGCCGCCAGCACCTCCTTTAAGGCCACTTGCATTAAAATTATTATACAACAATTTCTGTAATGTGGCATTATTTTGTTGCTGATGTTGATCTTGAAATAGAGCTTCGATTAGGGTATTCGAACCGGTACTCAAACCGGCCAATATATCATTGGGACTGCTGTTTAGAATATTATCGGGTGTAGACGATGACAGTGAATGGCCACCAGTGGAGGCTGATGAATTACCGGCACTATTTAAATTGTGGCCATTACTCATTGTTATACCTTGACGTCGATATAAAGGGACTGATGATGAATTTGAAGATGTTGAACCTGCACCACCACCGCCAGATATATTTGGACCCAACATAAATTCTTTATTGTTCAGTAGGGCATCTGGAAAGGAAAAAAACAGAAAATTAGTGACATTTTCATAAGTGAGGAAGACAAGTAAAATAGGTAAACTTCTCCCGTTGGAAATGTTTGTACTCTCCACCATAGGAATACTAATATTTATTTGCAATTAAGTTCTCAACCTCACTAGGAACTATTTTATACTCGATCGAATGATCTGGAAAGGGGGGTCGGTGTTGGCGACAGATATATACCTCAAGCCTATGGTTTGCAGAGGTCTTCGGAATTACACATAGGTTTTAATATTCGATTTATATAAGGTATATGTTTTTATGAAAGAGGTTTCAGATTTAATGTTGATCAAATTGGATATTTAAATCACTTCAAATTATATTTACAAGTTTATAAAATACTAGCATATGCCCGCAACTTCGTTAGCGAATGTAGGAAATATTTTAAAAATTATTACCATATTATTTTATTTTCAGAGAAAACTGCATATGTCAGAAAAAACAATCCACACATTAATATCCACCATAAATTAAATTTGAGAACCATTTAGTACCAAATTTCATGATTCGTGCTCTAAAGTTTCACCCAAATCCAAATTTTACCAGATATTCCATTTAGCACACATTATTTCCATAAGTACTGTCCTCAACCATCTAACTAAACTTCCTGCATACCCCGATCCTACACCCCCACAATAATTCCACAATAATTAATTCATCCACAATTGAAATTGTACCGAATTTAGTAGTAGAATTTCCAAAACTTCCTACGTAACCTAAATATACACCCCGACAGTGATTCTAAATCCAAGTTTCAGGAGTCCAACTCCATAGGTTCACCCACAATCCAAATTGAACAAAATTTAGTACACAGTAGTATGAATTTTCAAAACCTCTTACTTTCCCCAAACCTACACCACCATAGTGAACCTAAATATAAGTTTTAGTATTCCAAATCTAATATTTAATACCTAGTTGTACTAATTTCCAAAACTTCCTACATACCCCAATCCTACACCCCCACAGTGATCCTAAATCGAAGTTTCAGGATTCCAACTTTATCGGTTGACCCACAATCCAGATTGTACCAAATTTAGTACACAGTAGTACGAATTTCCAAAATGACCTACTTAACCTAAACCAACACCCCCACAGTGATCCTAAATCTAAGTTTCAGAATTCAAACTCAACCGGTTCACCTACAATTCAAATTGTACCAAATTTGGTACACATTAGTACAAATTTCCAAAACTTGCTCCATACCCCAATCATACACCCCACAGTGATCCTAAATCCAAGTTTCGGGATTCCAACTCTATCGGTTCACCCACAATTTAAATTGTACCAAATTTAGTACACAGTAGTAAGAATTTCTAAAACCTCCTTCTAACCACAAACCTACACCCCCATAATGATCCTAAATCCAAGTTTCAGGATTCTAAACCTATCGTTTCACTCACAATTCAAATTGTACCAAATTTAGTACACAGTAGTGCCAATTTCCAAAACGTCCTACATACATTTCTAAAACTTCCTACATAACTCAATCTTACACCTCAACAGTGATCCTGACTTCAAACTTCATGATTCTAGCTCTATTGGTTCACCTAAAATTCAAATTGTACAAAATTTACACCTCAACAGTGATCCTGACTCCAAACTTCATGATTCTAGCTCTATTGGTTCACCTAAAATTCAAATTGTACAAAATTTACACCTCAACAGTGATCCTGACTCCAAACTTCATGATTCTAGCTCTATTGGTTCACCTAAAATTCAAATTGTACAAAATTTAGTACCATTTAGTACCCATAAGTATTATTTTCTTAAACTGTGATTCTAAATCCTGACCCCAATCTCACACCTCTACAGTGATCCTGACCTCAAATTTCATTGTTCCCGCTCTATAGGATCACCCAAATCCAAACTGTACCGATTATAGTACGATTAAGTACTTTTCGTACACATAAGTAACAAATTTCCAAAACTACGTTCATATCCCAATCCTATACTCCGACGGTAATATTAATTTCATATTCCAGGATTCCAGCTCGATTTGTATCTCCAAATTAAATTTGTACCAAATATAGTACCATATAATAATTTTCTTACACATGGGTACACGCTTTCAAAAACCATCTCTTTAAATGGACCCTACTTCTCAACCTTTATTCACACTCCAAATGTCAAGTATTTAACGCTATCCGTTCACATGATACAGAATTGTACCAAATTTAGTACATTTTCGTACTTTTGGGATATTTCAAAAACCCTTTGGTACATCTATCTTACACTCCATCAACGACCACCAAAGAGTGACCCTCACCCAAAATTTCAAGATTCTAGCTTCAGCCTTTTCGACTTGGCGTTGATGAATCGTTAAATCAGTCAGCCAGTCAGTCAATCACTTTACTCTTTTATTAGTATAGATTGACCCTTTGTGGGAGAGGTGGAGGAGGATCGTTAACAAAAATTATGAAATTACAAATATAGCCGATTCGATTGGAAAAATTTTCAAGACTACCGATAATTTGGAAGTATATTCTTTAGATTTTAGCCTTAGAAATGTCTTCATATAGACCGAAGGCGTTGCAGAAGTAATCGATAGACAAAAGTTCTTCTGTAAGCTAAGTAGAAGACTTCCTATAGACATTAGCATCAAATACCTTCTAAAGACATAAGATTCCGAATATCTTCTAAAAATATTCCATTGGCTGAAGACATTTTACGAGGACAGTTCGGAAAGTTCTTACTCTAGCACAAAAAGGGTGGTATAAACAGAAAAAAATTATGTATTTTGAAAACTTCCATCTCTGTTATGAACACATGTAAAATTAGGTACATTAGTTGCATCTTCATCACTAGGTACATTAGGTGATATTTCTCGCACTGAATCGCATCGCCGAAAATAATAAAAATTTGCATCGTCTTTTGACATATCTTCGTAGAATTGACTTTCCAAAAACTTGGCATCTCTACTTAATTTAACGCTGTTCCTACTGGGATCAAAGAAATTATATGTCTTTGTGGAATTGCTATAGCCTACAAATATAACTTCTTTTCCCTTTGTATCCAGTTTCTTTCGTTTTTGTTTAGGGATGTGAATCACGGCTTTACATCCAAACACTCTGAGATACGTTGAACAGGACTTCTTACCTGACTATACATCTTCCGGAGAAATTTCATTCAGCTTTTTCGTCAGTGTTAAATTAATTAAATGAACAGCAGTGTTTGCCGCTTCAGTCCAATACTTTTTGGTAAAAAAAAAACTTTCGTTTGGTACAGCTGTCGCTGAGTTGACAATCCCTGGCCGAGTCAAACTCGGATCAGTAGGGAGCGAATGTGGTACCATAGTTTGATGATAAATACCGTTTTCAAAAAATTCTTCAAAAGTTCTACGAAATATCTTCAACACAATACTTTAGACACTCCACTAGATATCTATAGATAGAAAAAATTTCATTTTTAAACCCCAAAGGGCTTCGACTCCCTACCCCCCTTCTAAATTACATCCATTATTACCTATTCCCCTCTGGAAGTTATCAAATAAAACAAATGTCATCATCACGATATACTTACTATTTCCAATAAATCCGCCTGGTTGATTGGCGGCATTTTGCTGTTGTGGCGCTTGTTGTGGTGGCATACCACCTGCCAACATACAATTTGGTCCCATTGCATTTTTGGCCATGTTACCACCTTGATGATTATTGATGATAGCGCCACCGCCAACACCATTTGCAGTTGCCGCACCACCACCAATATTCGGAAACATTTTACTGCCGCCCAACATATTATTCGATGTCGATGATGTATTCGAGTTGAGAATCATATCGCCACCGTTCATTGTGGATGGTCCAGCGGCATTAACGCCGCCGCCACCACCACCACCAGCTACGCCAAACAGATCACGCAAAATAGGCTGGGAAATTTCATTACCATTGAGTATCGAATTGAAAACCATATCGATTTGTTGATTGAAGTTAATATCCAAGGGTGGTGTTTCATCGTTAAGACCCACGTTCGATTGCATGGGATTTGTGGGTGGTGGTAGTGGACCCATAAATGGATTAACATTTCTTTGAGGTTGCTGCTGGTGTTGCGGCGCTTGTTGCTGCTGTGGCGCTTGCTGTTGTTGCTGGTAGTTCATTAGCGGTTGCATAAAAGAGGCATCTCTTGGCATTAGTTGCTGTTGCTGATGTTGTTGTGTTGGAGGCTGCGGCTGCGGAACACCCATATTATTTATATAGCTCTGCTGCATATGCTGCGGCGGTTTATTTACCGGCTGTTGAGGTTGCTGCTGTTGTTGTTGCTGCTGCTGCATCATAGTGCTTACCTGCCTTAACACTTCGGTAAACTTGTTGGCAGCATCTTGACCCTGTGTCTCCAATAGCTTTAAGTACCACTTGTATTGGGATTCTTTCGGTTCAAAGGCCATTTCGTAGATGTTCATATTTGGCGGCAAAAGTGAGGCATATTCGTGGGGCTGTGGGAATCTTAGTGCTGTGGGTGATTGTTGCTTATTGGCCGTGCCAACCATGGCATTCGGTGGTGGAGGTGGGGCTTGGAACATTGTTCCGCCGATATTCAGCGGAACATGGACGTTGTTTAGGAATTGAAAATCCTTATCTTTCATTGGGCCTGTTAGGTTGTTTTGTCCAAAGAAGGCGGCATTTTGATTAGGTGCAGCACCACCCCCCGCTGCTGGTGGCCTGGGCATAAAGGGATCCATGGGACTAATGGGTCCATTGGGTATGCCACTCATGTTGCGTTGGTTCATCATTTGCAGTTGGTTAGGAGGTGGCGGCGGAGCATTCCCCTGTCCAAAACCACCAAAGTTGCTATGCACCTGAGATGGTGGTACTTGGCCGCCCTGGCCGGGATGTTGTTTGCCGGCGTACAGTGCCTTGTTGGCCAAATAGCCTAAATCATTGGGATTGTTTCGCATTTGTTGTTGATTGGACAGGGGTGGTGGTGGTTGCAGTGGAACACTTTGACCTCTCATGTTCTGGCCGGCTTGCTGGGCGCCCATTTGTCGTCCATTGGCTCCATTGGGGTTGGGAGGTTGCTGCATCTGTTGCTTGTTTGGTAGCACCGTCCAAGGGTTCGACTGTGGCGGTGGACCCCACAGGCTGGCATTGGGATTTTGTCCGGTCGGTACGCCTGATTGTTGGCCGGGCCCTGATCCAAAATTACCGCCACTCCCAGGTGGTCTAAGTTGTTGTTGTTGGGCGTGTTGCCACGGCATGTACTGTGAGAATTGATTGCCACCGGCACCATTCGGCGGCGGTTGGCCCAAGTGTACAGGTGGTGGCGGTGGCCCCCGAGGATTGAATTGTTGCCCACTCATGGGAGGCGCCGACTGTGGAGGCTGCTGAGGACCACCAGTGGGTGGTGGACCAATTGCTCTCATGGGCATGTGATTGGGGTGCCCATGAAAATGGTGACCCCCCTTGCCGCCAACCATACCCTGATTCATCATGACAGCTGCAGCAGCAGCCGCTGCATTGTATGCCGCAGCTGCAGCCGAATGCGGTCCATACATATGGGGCATTTGTTGATTAGCCATGGCAGCTGCGTGATGCGGCGGCATTTGTCCTGAACCACCACCGGGCAGTAGACTTGGATGTGGACCCATTCCACCGGGACCATGGTGATGGCCAGGATGGGGGCCCATTGGATGATGGTTGTTGGCCATTGCCATAAACATGGCAGCTTGATCACGTAAGTAAGCTTCAGGTTGCAGGGAACGGGGTATAAATTCCGGTGCCAATGGATTGAGGACATAGCCCCGTTTCAGTTCGACACCATCGAGTTGAGAGCGTAACTGCCACATGGTTATACCGAAGAGAGACTTGTTTTCGTCACATATCTCAATGAAACGTTCCCACACTTTACGACATCGTCCTATCGAACACAAGGCCACCGGATCACCTACCACAGCCACTAGACTTTGTGCTCTCGTAATCGCAGTGTTCAGCAATTTTGAGTTGCTAAGAAATCCATAATCGGCATCTTCGGAAGGACTGTTCGATTGACCGGGAAAGGCACCACTGCCCGCCGAGCCACCTCCACTTCCACCGGCTATGGGTAAACATGTTCTTCGTGTTCGGACCGTTGAAAGGAAAATGGCGCGAAACTGTTTACCCTGAACATTGAGTACACGTTCCACAGATATGCCGCCCATGCGTCTTTTGCGCAGCTCCGAACGAATTCGAAACACCTGATCAGCATAGGGAGTCATAATACCAATGCTGGCATCATTTATTTTACCCCACGCACTAGGCCATTTTTTGCGTAGCTCCGATACCCGCTCTACAACTTCGTAGACCTCCGAATTGTTGTAAAATGCCGTTGAATTTTTATCCTGGACATCTTCACCCCGCGTTGTAAAGAATGTGAGGGGATAGAATTTCTCATGCCTTGGCTGTTTGCCGGATGCTATTAGTTTTTGTTCATAGAATAGCTCCGATGTAAATTTAATAATGGCTTCGTGGGCACGATAATTTTCACACAAGAGAATTTTACACGGGAAATTGGAGGGGTAGTGATCGTACAAACGTTCCAACAGAGATATATGCAACTTGCGTTCCTTGGCAAATGCCGAGAATAGTTCGGGACTCATTTGCATGTGATCACCAGCCAAGACAATGCGGGTGCTGTCATTGGCCAAGGCCAGGGGCATTATTGCTTCGCATTCCATTGCCTGGGCGGCTTCATCGAGAAATATGTGGGTGAAATAACCCTTGGGGAGATCTAAATTGGCCAATTCCATGGATATACTAAGGGTGACGACCACGATGCGATGTTTCATAATATCCTCGACCGTGGGACGGCGAAAGTTGCCAACACCATCAGTGATACAGTACTGGAAAAGATAAGATGAGAAAAGTTAGAGAGATGTGTTACGAATCGTATTCCAAATGCACTTACCTTTTGCACAACACTATTGACGGTGGCAACCCAACGCTTGTGATAGTACACCCTAAGCGGCGTGGCTTCCTCCAGCCCTGCCTCAATCCATGGATGCAGATATTCTTTAATATACAAATCGGCCGCCGAATTTGAGTGGGTACAGATGAGTATTTTAGCCTCGGGCTGTGTTAATAGCTGTTTTATCGCCTGGGCCAGTGTATAGGTTTTGCCCGTACCAAAGGGTCCAATCAGCAGTATCGGCGGCAGTTTAATGCTTAACGATGTCGTTATGGCATTTACGGCCTCCCGTTGTTTGGCATTCAATTTGGGCTCACACGATTCTGACCATTGCTTCTTCGGTGTCCACGGTATGTTGGGCTCCACTTCGGTGGCCGGAAAAATGATTTTGAAATCGGTAATTTTATCAACGGCATGATGCCATTCGCAGTAAGGTAGACGATTCAATTGAAATTGAATGTCCACGTGCAGTTCGGTGTCGGCCTTCAGCTTTAGGGCCTCCACACATTTCGACGATAGTTTTAAGTAGATCACATTCTTGCCCTTGTCCTCAATAACAGCCTCGTAAACATGACGCTTCTTATCGGCGCCGAGATTCGCTTCATCTACCACAGATATATACACACTGGAACAATTGGATAAAATTAGACGACCTGCCGACGTGTCCTCCGACACGTCCTTGCCCAAATGCATAAGAGCAAATAGCTCACCCGACAGCGAATACTTTGCCGTGCTTGTGGCCATGCCAGCCGGTGTCAGTATGTAGTTGGAGGTGACGTTCAGTTTGGTGCGCAAATTGAAACGCGCAATTTGTTCGTAGCGGGCTATTTCCTCGACATACAGCAGTTCGTGGATGCGGGACCGGTAGTTGTTTTGCGTCAGACGTTTATCCAGTATCGTCGACTGGGTCAGGGTAAATGTTTGCGCTCGGGGACATGGATAACGCTCTAGCATTTCCTTCTCATGTTTTAAGTCATTGAGATAGCCTTCAGTCTTCATGTGGGTGCCAATCGTCGTCTCGAACTTCACCAGGTGTGTATTGGATACATCCCACCGGGTGGCCGAGCTGTTGATTATGTCACGCTTGATTTCCTCAATCTTTTCGGCATCGCTCACGGGCACCACATCCACACAGAGATGCCGCACCAGTATTGGCTCCGAGCCGAAATCAAAGCAGACAGCCTGACGAAATGTGCCATAGATTTCGGTGTGAAATTCCACCGTGACATGGTGTTCTATGGGTGTACTGGTTGCTGTTGCGGTTGTAGATGTGGACGTGGATGAGGACGATGACGACGACTCCGCATTGCTGCTGTCCGTTGTGGCGGACGACTTTTTTGTATCCTCCTTCTCTGAAGACGATGTCGATGTGGAGGTCGATGTTGATGACGATGAGGTTGACAGCTTTTGTGGCATCCATTCCTGATTGGTTTTGGCATCCAGTTCATAGGTGGCATCTGGGGTTTTTATACTTTTCAAAGCGAAATGACTACGATGAGCATCCTGTAAGAGGGCTACTGCTTTTAAGGTCTTACCGCTTGTTTTCAATATAAAAACCCATTCCCGTTTGGATGTTTTCGAGCTGATGCTCGTGACCAAGTCTTGTTCGCATTTCGCCTCAACACCCTCAACCTTTTCGCACATGATTTTCTCCGGTGCTGTGGATTGTATCCATTTCTCTAAGATTTGTTCCGTATAGGATTTGCCATATAGTTCTTTTTCACAGGCCTTCTGCAGTCTCATGCGACGATATTCGAAACGTTCCTTCCATTCGTTAAGCTCATCCTGACCATGGGCTTCGACACACTGATTGCCATAGTGACACAATTGTGATTCGGTCCATGATTCACACAGGCTGTACGAGTCCAGGGTGAAACCACGAGGCGGTGGCCGCCATTTCCAGTCACGGCCCTCGTCGGACATAATGACATTTTGATGAGCTTCTGTTTGACAATGTTGACGCAATTCACTGCGACTGCTAAATGTTATCGCACAATACGAGCAGGTAGTGCTGTTGGCATCTTCGGCTGTCCCCGCCGATGATGATGTTTCATCGCCTGATGTTTTATTGCTGCTACCGGAGGAAGTGACACCCAGGGATGCCAACATGAGACCAGACATATTATTGAGTGGACCACCACCATTTGGAGTTGGGTTTTCTCGTTTTTTAATACCTTTAATGGCATTGGCATTACTACCAGTGGCAGCTGGATTATTGGCATTGACACCAACTCCTCCGACGCCAGCACCACATAAATGTTTACTGTATTTGTCCAGGGCCAGACCTTTGCTAGCCCAATTATCAAGTTTATTATCCAGACTGGCCATTTTATCATCTAAAAAGGCTAAATCCATTAACTTTTGTTCGGATTTCTCATAGCTGTACAACATATTAACAACGAGCCGGTAACCCTCCAGCACATTGCAGATTTCGTTGAATTTACGAAATCGAAATTGTGCAATCCATTCTTTGAGAATTTTTTCGGCTTCCTGTAAAATAATAAAAAAGAGAAAAACAGAAATTATTAGAATGGTGAGTGAGTGTTTTGAAATTACAAATTCGATTTTTAGGATCCAGAGCCACACATTTTTTGTGTCATGCAGGGATAAAGTTTTTTTTTTTTTGGGAGAGAAAGGGAGTGGGTCTGATAAAGATAAAGTAGAACCCTTTCCTCTGTAATACTCCCAAAAAACACGTCATATATTTCTGTCTGTCTGGTTAAGAGAACGAGTGCTGCACTGTGCTTTTTAAAAAATATTTACAAATGTGATTGTGAAAGGAAGAAGTGAATCTGCATTATTTTTATATACTCCGTCGTCAGGGCGAATAGAAGCTAACTATTTAAACTTAAGAAGCTAAATATTAAAAATGTCAACACAAGCCTGAAGAGGCAAATGGACCTTCTATTCTACCTAATTAAGGAAACCGGCTCCTTCCACCATAGTCGAGAGAGTATCCCGATTCATCTCTGGGACGACTCTCAAGTGAAGTGACCTCCATACGCTTATCAGTGTGATTCACTGTTTGCCTAATTCGATCGGAGCTATGTAGGTGGTTTTGGAAATTTTTGCTTATTTGAACGAAGAAAAGTACTAAATGGCACCATATTTAGTACAATTTGGATTTGGGTGAACCGATCGAGCTGGAACACTGAAATTTGGAAATAAGATTACTGCTGGAGATGCGATTGGGGTATGTATGTCGTTTTGGAAAATTGTGCTTATGTGTACTAAATGGCACTACGTTTGGTACAATTTAGATTTGGTTGAACCGATAGAGTTTGATTCGTGGAATTTGGAATTAAGAGTAATATTGCAGTGATGGATTGGGTCATGTAGGAAGTTTTGTCAATTCAAACTTATGTGTACTAAATTTGGCACAATTTGAATTTGTATGAACCGATTGAGCTGGAAGACAGTAATTTGGAATTAAGATTACTGTTGAAGTGTAGGATTGGGGTATGTGGGATGTTTTGTAAATTCGTACTTATGTGTACTAAATGTTACCAAATTTGGTACAATTTGAATTTGGGTGAACCTATAGAGATGGAATACTGACATTTGGAATTAATATTACTGCAGGAGCGTAAGATTGGGGTTTGCAGGACGGTTTAGAAATTCGTACGTATGTGTAATAAATGGTACTAAATTTGATAAAATTTGATTTTGCGTGAACCGATCTAGCTGGAACACCGAAATTTGAAAATATGATTATCGTTTGAGTGTACGATTGGCTTATGTAGGAACTTTTCAAATTCGTACTTATGTGTACTAATTGGTAACAAGTTTGATAAAATTTGGATTTAGGTGATTCGATAGAGCTGAAATCGTGAAATTTGTAATTAAGATTACTGTTGCAGTGTAGGATTGGAGTATAGAGGACGTTGAAGAAATTCGTACTTATATGTACTAAATTTGGTAAACCGATCCTGATGGAACACTGAAATTTGGATATAAGATTATGAGTGAAGTGTAGGATTGGGCTATGCGGGAAGTTTTGTAAATTCATACTTATGTGCACCAAATGCTACTAAATTTGGTACATATTGGAATTGGTCTGAACCGATAGAGCTGGAATCCTGAAATTCGGAATTAAGATTACTGTTGAAGTAATGGTACTAAAAATGGTACTAAATTTGGTACAATTTGAATTTGTGTGAACCTGAAATATTGAAATATGAAGTGGGTACTTCTGTTTTGTAAATTCGTATATATGTGCGATCCTAACCGATGGAGCTGGAATCCTGAAATGTTCAATTCAATTCCACATTCGATGACGAAGAAGCGGGCATATGCTAGTTAGAGTATAAAACGATCTAAATAATATGGACTGTATACATAAATAGGTACTGTACATAATCATACCCTCAGCCTTATGGCTAATAAGGTTATACACACTTTGCTACGGCAAAAATATGCCTCATCGATGTTTTTTTGGACCAAATCTGTTTCAAACAATTAGGAGTCGATTTACAAAAGTCCGTCCGTCGGCCTGGCTAAGCACGGTAACTCTTAAAGGGAATAACCGATGTTATCCAAACTTTGCACATATTTCTTTCAAAACTCATAGTAAGTTCGAAGATGGGGATTATCGATTTTCAATATTTTAAAAACAAGTATGTTTATTTTGAAGCGAGCGAAATAGGGTCGGAAAAGAATAAAAGTAGATTTCACTTAAATCTGACTGGACAATTTTGATTTTATGTAGATTCGTGATGTTTCTAGATTTTGACAAATAAACTAATTAACAGATAAAAAATATACCCAATTCCCAAAAACAAATTCCCCTGAGAATACCATCCACCATTTGCATTCTAATTGTATGGTTCGTTTTCTTTTCGTTTTTTTCTCAAATCAATTCTTTTTTGGAAAGGTAATCTTCTTACTTACCAAATATTTTTTGAGTTTACACAAAGCATGTATTTGCCATTTTCTCGTGCGCGATACACTGGTTAAACAATCGGCCGGCTGTTCACTAATCATGGATAAAACTTTACGGGCATCGGCCAAACAAGGTTCATATTTTCCTAGCTCATACAGACACTCGCAACGTCCCAGCAGGCAGATAATATGACGATCTTTTTGTACACGATTCCAGGTGGGTGCCGTCGCCAAGATCTCATCGTATAATGTGGCGGCACGTAACCAATTGCGGCAACGCACCAAATCGTGAGCCTGCTTCTCTTTATCCGTCATGACAGCCATGAGATTTGTCGAGTTGGAGTTGTTTTTCATGGTAGTATATGTTCGATATAGTGTGTGTTTGGTAGTGGTGGTGGTGTATGGTGTGGGTGGTAATGTTTAATTTAAGCATTTAGAGGAAAAAAGAGGATTCACTCGACTTGTGTGTGTACGTCTGGGATAAGTACAAAGACTATATAACAACCTTTTCTCCAGTGTATTTTTTGTTGGGTTGTTTTTGTTTTATTTTATAGTTATATGTTTCGAAACTTAATTTACAATTCTATTTTACATTACTTTTAATATATTGCAATTAAAAGTGATAATGCTTAATTAGGACATTTTGATAAATTAAGTTGTTGGATTTTTATGTGTTTTTTAATATTTTTATTTTTTGTTTTTGTATGGAAAGATTTCTACAAAGAAAAAACAAATGGACCACCATTACAAATAAATCAATAAATTTCTTGGGGGGAGATAAATAATAATTATTTGTCTTTGATTGTTATAGAATAATGGGTTAATGAATTTACTTATAATCATTTGATATAAGCAAAATAATTGAGGTAGATAAAAGAGATATATAAAATGGCATAACAAAAATATGTATACTAAACATGTTTTCTGTAGATTTGGAAACTTAAACCTTTTAAAATTGATGCAATTAAATCACGAAATTGTTTAAACTTCACGAAAGGAGTAACGAACTTCAAGAAATATTTCTTAAAATAACAAATCGATGAGTAAATATTTCATTGGAGGAACAAATCGATACCTTCGGTTGTGTACGGTGAATGAGTGTATCTCCACCAGTTTATGGGTAGATTGTCGCAGTAGGTCAGATATAACAATTAAGTCATGTAGGGTGCCTACTATTATTGCTCTTCTATCAGTTCACCTCCCCTCAGAACCCCGCAGAAAATTTGAATTTTACAACAATAAACTTCCAATGGAACTTAACAGAGCTAAAGTGGAACAAATGGTTACAACATATAAACTATTGGCGCTCCAAGTAACAATAAAATGGGTTTCTGGTCACATCCCTTGAAGGATGGCCCCTAACGCTGGTTGGTATGCGACCTCGTGCCCAAATGTGTTCAACGAATGGTTGATACCTGGGTATTAAGTTTAGTTACCAAGTCCTTGGCACTGTAAGGATCAGTTAAAGTACCACAAAATCTGTTAAAGTATATAAATACCCCCTAAAACATAAAAACCCCAAAAATCTGCACCTTCAGTCTCAAATGCTACAAGAGCAAAACTCCTTTAAAAAACCCTAGAATCGGATTCTTCATCCAGTGTACAAAGTACATTCTCACCCTCAACCGCGGATGGGGACAACTGCAGTTCAACAACAGAGTGAATCACTCAACAACCTAATTGAGTTCAAGAAGCTCCCGTCTCTGCATCGGCAATAGTCGAGGAACCAGAGAAAAGTAACCAACAAAGACAAAACAGTTAAGAGTGGAAATTCCAAAGTAATTTTGGTAAATCCGCTGTCGACTATAAGTGGAAAATCCTGGATAGGAAAGCGTTTCGAAGACCATTTTTTTACTGGTACGTCGACCAAGACCTAAAAAAGATCAGCGATAGGTAATACCTTTTCATCAGGAAACGCCTAAGAGCCGTGAGGAAGTACACAAGAGACTATCATCAGAAGACAACTAGAGAACTCCAGACCGAAAGGATTACTACATCGCTTACAGTGGCTACCCCCGTCAAGCCCCCACAAAGAGGCTGCGACAACGGATTAAAACGATACAGGATCACAAAAACCCGACACATCGTGCTGGAAGGAAAATCCTGTTCCGACAGAAGCCAAAACCTCCTCAAAGCCCATAGTTACTGCAGCCACTGGAACTTTTCATAAGTAATATTCAAACTTGCTTGAAAGGCATGTTGTTCTAGTGTAAGATCTTCGTCTCCTCATGAAGATGGTCCACTGGTGGCAGGTTTGGATATTCTTCCACTGCGTATCACTTACATTCGCAAATTACACTGGCACCGCATAGCTTACCACTAACCGGCCTATTGTTTTATAAGAGGTCAACAAGGTTCCTTTAACAGAGCCCTAAGTGCTGCCGGCTAACGACTTGAGACCTTGGTCCTACTTCTTAGCTTATCGCAAAAAGTATTGGCTTGTGCAGACGACTTGAAAAGGCTGTCGAATGTTACGCTAAGTGGTTTTAAAATTTACCACATATATTTCTAAGGTCCCAGATAACGATATCCACGGAAATCCATACATTCTAAGATATGACCCTAATCTAATCATTGTCTTTCACCTTTAAAATTATATCTCATAGACTTGTTCGACAAGTAAATTACATTTTTGTAATCAGGACGTCAAACGCTTTATATGCCTTAGTGAATTTTAATTAAAATTTAATTAAGAAATTCGGATTTTCGCCGTGGTCATCTGGACCCTATGTACTGCATATGGTAACATTTTCAAAACGATCCGCGACGGGGTCTTGAACTAGATTTAAACCTTCAACTGCTTCAAATTAGCATGGTGAACACCATATACATATCAGGAAATGTGGATTTCGGCAAGGTATATCGTTGAATCAGGACAGATCGAACTACTTATGGTTATGGTTAAGTTGAAAAGAGGGGTGGATAATACCACCACATGTCCAACATGGGAAGGAAGGATAAGCCAATTGAGGCCTGTTGTGAGCTCTAGAAATGCAGAGAAAGTTAGAATTAGTGAATGTTTAGATTAAAAACATTTTGAGTTTGTTTTCCCTATGAATCTAGAAATTCCGTGTTTTTTTGTGAACTCCTTCGCATCCAATCTTGAGTAAATGTGCCTTTAGGCTGAGGTGTCCCGTAAGTATACCTGTCAGCCGGCCTATTTCTTTTTCGTTTAGCATTAGAATATGCTTAGTTTTGTCTTCATTTGGATCACCCCATAAGATTTTGGTGGTCTTTCCAGTCCCCGCATTTTCCCAAAGGGTTTTGTGGGTCTCTCTCGCCAATTCCCTCATTTATTTGCCGTTTTTCGCTAAAGGGTTTGGCGGTCTTCACATCTATTGTGGGTAGTGCAGTAGCACTCCTAGCTAGTTGATTTGCTATCTCGTTGCCTGTGATTCCTTGGTGACCCGGTACCCATATAGTTCGTACAGGTCCTTGTTGTGAGAGATCATTAATGGTATCTATACAATCCAGTACTGTTTTGGATTTAACTGATTTGGCAGATATTGCCTTTATAGCTTGTTTGCTATTCATAATTATATTTGTTGTATTTTGTCCTTGATTTGAACCTAACCAGTTAAGACACTCTGTTATAGCTTGAACCTCCGCCTGTAGGATCGAGCTGTGATCTGTTAGGCGAAGAGAAATTTCGCTACCCGGTCCTTCGATAAAAAGTCCCAGTCCTGTTTTCCTCCTAGTCGAAAGCCATCTGTGTAGCAACAGTTGCCAGGCGGCATCTGAACTAGTGTTCCACCATTCCATAGTTTCGCACCGTGTTACTACACTCGTTTCAGATATGCGGTCTGAATTAAAGGTTGACTCAGTATTTGCCTATAATATGTTTTTGTGCGGTATGTTGTGTCCGGTGTCTATCCACTTGTCCAATGCTTTGAGTCTTAAAGCTGCAACCGCCGCTTTATATATTTTATTTGGATGCCTATTGAATGTATATATGGTATTGTATCCAAAGCTCTATATGCCTAGACAACACGTACTTTGAACTTTCTGCAATGCTTTTATGTTACAACAGACGCATATGTTAGAATTGGTCTAATAAGTCTCTTATAGATCTTATGTATATTCTTAGGTTTGTAGACCCATTTAGAGTCTACGACTCTTCTATAGAAATACCAGAAATATGTGGTCTTTCCAACTACTTATGGTGAATATTTGAAAATGATCTGCAACCGGGCTTTTAACTAAACATAAAACCAAAAAATGCGCGCTAGGCTGAATTCATAACCTCTGGATAAATGCCTATTGATATTTTGACTATTTCCAGACGCAATTGGACCTCAATTATATTCTGCAAAATAAACACATATTAATTACATTTTCAAAAAAAAAATCTATTGCAAAATTAATTTGCAATCAAAAAATTCCAGATTTCTATATACCTCAATAAGGGACACATACATTTTGTAAACAATCATCATCAGCACCATCAACGACGACGACGATGTTATTGTTTTTGTTGTTTGTTTGCGGTGAATGCTGCGCTTATTTACGTACATTATTATTCTTTCGCATACATATATATGTATGTATGATGGATATAGATGGATGGTTAAATGTTAGATGAAAGGTAAGAGGAACACAGAAAAGAGAAAGGGGTAAAAATAGACCGGTGATCGACCGGCTTTAGAAAAAAGTGGGAGACATTGGTGCACATACATTCAGTCAGTCAGCCATCCATCCACCTCGTTGTTTTCTCAAAACTGTTTGAGGCAAAAGAATATTAGAAAGAAAGTGTGAGAAAAGAAAACCGACGAAAACTATGTAATTTTTGTGTTGTTGTTGGATTTTTTTCGACTTCTTCTTGTGTTGCTTGTTGTAACCACTTTGGAGATTTTTTGCTGCTTGTCCCGGTTTCTTCTTTTGCATTTGTGAAAATTTTTGCTTAGGATCTCAAAACAAAAAAATAATCAAACATTTTCTTGTACGAAAATTTTGTTATGCCATTTGTATATACTTTTTTCAATATTATTATTAAATATTATTTGCACTTTTTTCTTGGGTTCTCTGCCATTATTTTCCTTGCAGTTTTTTTTTTGTTATTTTTGTCACCACTTCATTCTTTTTTTTTTTTCTCTGCACCCAATATACTTTTTTCTCGTTTAATTCGTTTTGTCGTATTTTTTTATTTTATTTTTTTTTCTTTTAGTGTACAGTCATTTTTTTCACCTAGAAGACGACCTTATTTTGTTGAAATTTCCATAAATAAGGCCGTAGTTTTCATTTGCGCCATGGGCCAACATACAATTTGAGAATATTTACAGCTTAATTACACTAATTTGCTACGATTTCGCCAAAAATATCGGCATAATTTTAATA